ATCCAAAATCTAGCACTCCTGGATCTGATCCTGGATCTAGCACTCCTGAATCCAATCCAGGATCTAATCCTGGATCTAGCACTCCTGGATCTAGCACTCCTGGATCCAATCCAGGATCTGATGCTGGATCTAATAATGAATCCGGCACTTCGGGATCTAGTACTAACGAATCTGGTACTAAATCTAGTCCTGATGAATCTGGTACTAAACCTGTTACTGGACCTGGTATTTCTGGATCTAAAGATCAACCTGGCTCTTCAGTGCCTGGTACTTCCGGATCTAATAGTCGACCTGGCATGCCGGGATCTAGTACTAAATCCAGTACTGATGAATCAGGTACTGAATCTAGTCCTGATGAATCTGGTACTAAACCTGGTACTGAACCTGGTAGTCCTGGATCTAATGATCAACCTGGCTCTTCAGTGCCCGGTATATCTGGATCTAATAGTCAGTCTGGCACTTCGGGACCTGGTGCTGAACCTGGTACTAAATCTGGCACTGGACCTGATGCTTCTGGATCTGATCAATCTGGCACTTCGGGACCTGGTGCTAAACCTGGTACTTCGGGATCCGGTACCGTCGCATCTCAACCTGGCCTTGGATGCAAGCAGCGGACCAACCTTGATGACGTTATCGAATTTCTCGCCAGCAGCATTATCACTCTCGACAAAGCGAAGATTAAAGAGGCCCTCAAGGACTATGCTGATAGTATTCTCGACGACGCTTGTGGAAAGAGATGAAACCAGGGGGAAATTATTCAAACGCTTCTTTCGGGCAACCGGAAGAAGAAGGACGCCAAAACAAACAAACAAACAAACAAACAAAAAAAAAAAACAGTGTCCGGCAGCACCAGACAGTGTGTACAGTCCGTTATGCAGAAGAACCGGCTGGACATTTGCCCCTGAGGCCCGGAGCCTCCCACGCGGCAGCCTCCACAAACCCATTGTCGGAAGTACTCGGAGGACCAGATTGATCACGGATGGATCCGCTCGCAGTACAAGGAGGAAAGCTCGTGTCTTCTCAGTCGCACGCAACAAAAAAACCTCGCCAGTTCAGCTCGTGCCCGACGCCCCGTCATCAACGTCCTGTGGTCCATGTCTCGACATCGCCGATAAGCCACGCGATGGAAAAGTCTCGCTCGATCGAATCATGTATTGCCTGCTCATGGCAAGAGTTCCATCTGGTAGGGAAGACGGTATTCGTGCTTCCACCGAATTTAAGCATGCGAGCTCATCAGCGGCTGTGTCAGAGGTTTATCTGGGCCGCGCGAGTTTTGGCACGTCTGCGGCCTACAGTGGAGAGAGAGTCCTGTTGTCCTGTTGGATGTGTCGTTTTCTGGTCGATGACATGGTTGACATGGTTGAGCGGCGTTGATCAGGGGAATCAACACATTGGGGAGCATCCAGTAGAGGTTTAGATTTTGAGCCCGAAGCGTCCAAACAAGCCAATTTGATGAAAATCTTCTCGTCTGGTCGTCTTGGTCACAAGGCAAATGATACAGCTGCATTTGGCCAGTTGTCAGCCCCTCCCAAGCTGAGAAAGCGATCCAAGCTACCTAAGTAGCCCTGCAGTTGATGACTCATGTGTATTTTGATTTATTACATTTACGCCAGAGTAGTTGGGGTTGGGATTGCTCGACTGGCGTGAAACCTGCCTCGACGGTTAATTATTTGTGTCAGAACAAATCACAGAGTTGGACGGAAACAAAGTTTTCCATGCAACGGGAAGACCCTGTGTATGCCTTCTTTTTTTTAGTATTTTGGTCTCCAAGCTCTATAACCCTAACCCTATACGTATGGCGTTTCCAAGTCGGTCCTCCCGTCGTGATATGACTCCAGTCATGTCGCTTTTTGAAAATGTCGTCACCAAGGCCCCACGAAATGTATTGCATTCCCCCGCTCCAACCAACAAGAGAAGAATGGAAGAATAGAAAAACGCGTGCCCGAGTCCTGGCGACGCCGAATAGTAGTAATTGCTATCAACTCCCGCAATGATCAACGACAAACGCCGTGCTTGACGCCAAAAAGCCCAAACTTCTTGCACGCGTCTGCCCAGATGAAGCAGCTCTGTCTCTGCGTGCCTAAGGGATATGTCGTCGCGTATTCCAAGGCCTATGCCACCTTGCAACGGTTCAAACCGGCCAATATCCCTTCTGCCCTAGTTGACTTTCTCGTGGCGGCCCTGGGTCGGCTCCCGCTGCTGATGTTGCTGACTCAGGGCCAACAGAATAAACGCCAAACATTGACTGACGTGTGTGCAAGAGGAGATGCCCTCATCGTGGTCAAGAACCTCGTACTTGGGCTCAGACACGTCATAGAAGAACACGCCCGGGCACCTTTTCCTGTCGATCTTGAGGAATACTATCACCTCGCCATTGGTCACGAGGCTGAAGGTGAGCCCCAGCGTGAATCATGTAGTCGTACGTTTGAACAAGGGCAGCAGCCGTGCCCCGTTTGCCACAGTAGGAGAAATATTTCCGTGGGTCTTCTGGTGTCGGTATTTTTGGATTGTTGACCACTTCCCGGAAAATGTCCATGTTCTTCTCCAAGCCGACGCGAATATGCTGCGCACTCAGTTTATGGGGCGCTTTGTACTCCTCGACCAAGAGCAGCTTGCGTTCTTCCGAGGTAGCGTTTTCGTTAATACCCCTGTACACACAAATCTGATCAGGCCGGAGTTTGTGGGAATATTGTGAAGGCTGCGGCGTTTGCGGCGGTGCGGCAACTCGACTGTCGACTTCCAAAGCCACGTCGCTGATGGCGCTTGGGTGGTTTAAAAAAATGACGCCTCTCGCTATCCCGTACTGAGCCCCGAGCAAATTCTTCTTGGCTAGTTCTTCGACGATGCAGTGAACTGGGTTCTCCACTGCGTAGTGCACATACCTCTCCAGCATCTCTTCGTCGGCAATCGGTGAAGCTGAGAACTTTTTGCCCAGGACAGATAGCCAATGCTTGGAATCGAAAAGCCTCTCGTGGAGGGGGGAACAGCTAAATACTTCTTGAAGATGAGCCACCTGTTGCGTCAAGAAGTCATCCCACTGCACGAGTTTATCTGGACATAGTTTGCCTTTCGGATTTGTAGTGCCTCCCCTTGACGAGAGCGCTGGGTTCTGTTGCACCTTGAACTGCGAAAACACCTTTTCATGACAGAACTCGAGGTACTCCATGAGAGTTGTGGAACGTGTTTGCTGCTCGAGACGTTTTCTCTCGCCTCCGAGGTGTTTGTTTTGGCCCTCCAGATATCTTGTTTGGCCTTCTAGGTGCTTCTTTTGGCCTTCCAGGCGTTTGTTTTGGCCCTCCATATATCTTGTTTGGCCTTCCAGGTGCTTCTTTTGGCCTTCCAGGTCGTTTTTTTTTTTGGCTCTGGAGTCTCTCTTTCTCCAGATTGGACTCTTCCAAAAGCCTTCGGAGCCTTTCAATCTCCTTTCCATGATGATGTAGACGGCCAGGGGGCCAGGCGTGTCGTCGGCAGTCGCGGTATAGTAGTCTGTTTTGCGAATGGAAGCGATTAGGCACGGCAATGTTTTCTGATATCAGCGGACATATCCCCAGTATCTCCCTCAAAATACCTGGGGATATCTAGATACAAGTGTATATAGATCGAGGCGTTTCGATATCGGCAGGAAATAGGAGGATCGCGCAACCTGCCAGTGTCTGGGTATATTCAAAGATTAGAGAGTATCATGTGACAAGACTGTGTGTGAGGTTTGATGAGGGCTTGTCGTCTCGCAGCCCACTGGTTGTATCCGGATATCAGGTCATCGACGAAGAGAGCGCAAAGGCCACCTCCAACTTGGCCAGGCAAGGCCACGACGCCAGTGCGTCGGTCGGTTGGGTGAGTGTCGACACGAATGAATCTCGTGATTGCGCCTTGGCGAGGCCAACAAGTCGGCGTTCGTTCGTAGGCTCCTTTGATAATGAACACCAGAGAGCCGGCGCATTGGTGCCGTGCCCGTGGCAACACGACAACTGTCGCGAGCCCGTCGCAAGTCTGCGCTCTCGAAACCCCGAACATTTGTACGACGTGACCTCATCAAGGCTTTCTGTTTCCGTCAAGGCTCCGGTTCGGGGCGCATGCTCCAGAAGACCCGTGACGCTGCTCGGCAGACGCCAGACCTCTCAAATACGCGTTTCTAGAAAAGTGCCTCGTGTATCGACGGCTGACTGGAAGCTGTTTCGTGCGTTGCAGTTCAGGGTCGCCAGAGTAGTTGTGCGACTTGGTCCAACAGCATTGGCACGCTGTCGCCCGCCAAGTCCATCGTCGGGGTCCAATCGCAAGACTCTTGTTGGTCACTCGGACTTGTTTTCATGTCTTGCTTTTGCAATTCTCCATCATATGGGAGAGATGTATTGGCTCAATCCGCCCGCTCGGAGCCGGGCAAGGCCCTTATCAACACTGCTGCCCATGAGTTTTTTCACGGTCCCTAGCTGGGAAGTTAGTATGGGCACAGCACAATCAAAGAGCAGAAGGACGGACTCAGTGTCTGCTCGGAGGTGTAAGTAGGCCAAGACGCGCAATGTGATTTCTTCTGCATCAAAGGCCGTGCCGTTCGGGGCGTCGGCTACACCGCCGTCATCGCAGCATGTTATCTTCAGTCTCCGTGTCCCCGTCCCCCACGGGCCACGAGCCATGGGCCAAGGGGACACCAGTAATGACACCACTTTCAACGTCTCCGGCCCCATGAGCCTCCACGACGACATACGTAGTCGAACGGGGGGGCGAGCAGACAAGCCCAGACCCCTGACATGTGACCCATGCTAATACATCTGCCAGGCATCACGTCATCGCCATGAGAGGAGGCAAACGCAGTGTCATGCCCGCCCAGGTATTGCGTTAGTACCGTTCAGACAAAATTTCGTCACGATTACTCAATTGCATATACTATATATATAAGTTGAGCACCCCCCAGCCCCCCTCTTGGGAAGCCTGTCAACAACGTCGTGCAATAGAGAGGTGGGTTGACTGTCAACCCAACCATTCGGATCTGGGATCAGTCACCTCATGAATAAGGAGGACCCGATTTCAGGCAATATGCCATTGGTATGGCGGCAACAACTGTAAGGAGTCAGGGGATTTATGATGCACAAGAATCAAGTAGTACTGTTGTTGACAAGCTGAAGGGAGGACCAGAACCAATGTGGGAGACTTCGAAAACTAGGCTGAGTAGAGGCGTGCGGTTGTGATCAACCCATCAACCTGACGACTAGGATAGATGCTCAACCTTGACGTTGTCGAACACGGCGTCCGTCTGAAACACCCTCACGCCGTTCATGCCGCGTGCAAAGGTGCCGTCCAGCACATGAAGCTGCGCCGTCGTCGAATCCCCTGCAAACACACTGATTGCATTCTTCTTGGCCGCCACTCTCACTCGGTACGTCTTGCCCGGGACGATATCGGCCGTGACGGACGCGAGCTGCGTCCACGAGCCACTTTGCGCCTTACCCAGCACCAGCTTCCCCGAGGTGCTAATACCCGCATAGTATCCGTCGTATGCATCCGTCTCGAGCGCAAGGTTTGACGCCCTAAACACGAGGCCGGCATCCCCGCCGTTGCCGGAGGGAATCTCGATGTCAGCTGAGAAATCAACATCGCCAAAGTTGGTGTTTAGTAGTGCTTTGCCGCCGGCGGAGTTGCCGGCATTGAGGGCGTTTTTTTTGGTGTTCCAAGAGCCGCCGTATGTAGTCCATCCTATCATGTTGCCGTCGTTGAAGTTGTCGTGGACCAGCATTCTGACGGGCCGAATCGTGCCGTCTGCGTTGAAATAGAGCCGGTCGTAGGCCAGGTGCCGGTCGTTGGCGTCGACGTTCTCCCCAAGCGGGTGGCGATGATAGACGATGTAGTAGATGTCGGTGTTGGGGACGTGGATGACACCATTGTGTCCTGACCCGCTTGCCACCGAGGTATCTTGCTCTAGTATTTTTGCGAGACGCTTGAACGGACCCGTGGGTGATTTGGACATGCCATACGACACGGCGTAGTCTGGCCCGCCCCAGCCGCCTTCGCTCCAGAACAGATAGTAGGTGCCGTTTCGCTTCATCATCTGCGGGCCCTCGACGTAGTTCTCTGGCGTGATTTCCTTGTACGACGTGCCGTCGTCGAGGGTGCCCATGGTCACCATGTCTCGGTTCAACTTGGCGACGTTGGCGTGTCCGTGCCCGCCGTAGTAAATGTACGCTTGGCCGTCATCGTCGATGAAGACGTCCTGGTCTATTGGCTGGGCGCCGTTGTAGTACTGGCCGATGAGTGGCTTCCCAAGGGCATCTTTGTACGGCCCCTGTGGCTGGTCGGATATGCCGACCCCGATCCCGCCTAGCTCGGAGTTGGTCTGGATGTCGTTGGCGCCAAAGTAGAGGTAATACTTTCCGTTGCGCCAGATGGGCGCTGGTGCCCAGATTGCGCGGCGTGCCCATTTGAAGTCCGCGGCGACGAGGACGTTGGAGTGTTTGGTCCAGTGGACGAGGTCCGGGGACGAGAAGGCGTCGAGATACGTCTGTTTGTCATACTCGTAGGAAGACGTCGCGTACACCCAGTACTGATTATTGTAGAATTCGTTGTCCGGGTCGGCGTAGAGTCCGTCAACGAAGGGGTTGCCGGCTTCTGACGTCTTGAAGTCAGGCGTGTGGGCGGCGACGGCGGGAACAACGGCAAGGAAAAGTGATGGCTTCATGATGGCGCCGGACGGCCGTGGTGTCGACGGGCACAACTGTGGATAGGGAGACAGGAGGCGTGAGCCGCATGATGATGGGTGGAAGTTCCTGAATGGATCGTCATGCCACAAGAGAGTTGAGTCAAGCTAACATTGAACGACGTGATGTTGCGTCAAGGCTGCATCCGCAAATCCCCTCCCCCGCTCGAGTTATCGTCATGCGGGCGGGGTTCATGTGGGCCCAAGCTCGGGCCGTGGCTTGCACCAGACGTTTCCCCCACAGCCCATTGCTTTGGAAGGCGTTCAAATTTTGCTCGGGGTGCGTTTTCCCCACTCCCAGACGCAGCTGTCCATCGCAGCCGGCATCGCAGCTTCAATGGATGACCCCTTGGGAGCCCGGACAGCTCCTGAAGAGAGCTCAGGAAAATTAACAGCCTGCAAAGATATTCTTTAGAACCACTGTAAGTTACGTTTTCAAGCAGTTCAGAGCCCGCCTAGTGTGGCGTTGTTGAGAAATTTGTGTACGTATTTAGTTAATTACTTTACTTTACTTTACTTTACTTTAGTAGCAGCAGGTCGGCTAGCTAAATTTAGTTAGTTGCGGGGCAGAACGCACCCCAAGCAGAATTGGAACCCAATTCTCCAAGGGCAGGTTCGGGGCTCCTCTGTTCGGACTGTTCCTTCGATCGGCAGCGGATGTGGCTTTGTGCACGGCGCGTGACTCGTCAACAATGCTTTCAGAACTTGGGCATGCCCGTCTTCTTTGCTAATTGACCATCAACCTGCCTCATTCCCACACACGCGGCCGAGTAGTTAGCGCCAAGCGCGAGCAAATAGCGCCCGTTGGATAGTTACTTGGGCAGACCTGACGTCTGTAGGTCGCGAAGCCATCCGATATCACCGTCTTCAAACGCGTTTTGCATGGGCACCAACACCAAGAACAGAGACTTGCGCTGGTACGATTGGGCCATAACGCCAAAAGTAGAGACTGTATACGGAGTACTAGGGACCATCTGGATTCTGCAAGGCTAAGACGCAGAGTCTCAAGAAATGCATAACATCTCAGACAACCTCTGGTGCGGCTTTTAACAGCGCGAAACGCCCAATATTCAAAGGATTGGTTCATTGCCAGCTTTCAGGACCGATGCGTGTGTGGCTGCAATAGTGCCCTTGTTTCTCGATTGGAGGTTCGATCCGACGTCTGGGAGTCAAAATGGCATGCCTAGTCTCCCAAGCGAGGGGGAGTTTTTTGCCGCCATAAGCCACAATCAACTTGACAGGCCTGTAGAGCAGTCCAGGCCGGATGTATTGCGCGGTCGTCACTCAACTTGACCATATCTGTCTTTAATACACCCAGGCCTCTACGGATATAAGCGAATGGAATCCGCACGAGTCTGGTCTGGCAACTTGCCATTTCCTCCTTCTGCACATGTGGGCTACAAGTCTACAAAAAAGACCGGTAGTGTGGCATCAGGACAGCGATGGCGGTGCCATGCCGAGGATGGAGTAGAAATTAGATGGCAATTGCAGTGCCGGGGTTGAACTTGGCTTGTTGGAAAGCAGTGAGTGAGGGTATGCATTCTTGCCATTTCTTGTCTGTTGATGGAGCACTCTTGCAAGTTGGGGACGTACATTCGAGACTAACTTGCCGGCTTTGGAGCCGAGTAGTGCGACTGACGATACAACCTGGGGTTTCTCCAGCCCGGTGTGTCGCAATGACCAAAAGCACAAAACTGTCATCGTGGTGTCCCGGTCTCGTCCCTTTGACTTGCTTGAAGTGCGAGATTTTGGATGCCTTTGGATCGCGGAGGAAGCTGAGACTTCGGTCTGTCTCCCAGCACCCCCGTTTTCCCTCTGGACCTAATACTGCCATCCTTTGACACGGTTTGTTGTTGTTGCGTCGTTGCTCGCAAGTTCCAAACTTCAATCTAGTTTCCCACCAGCGCTCGCCAACGTGAGATGTTGCGTAGAGTAAGCAGCATGGCGGAAAGGATTCATAGCGGGCGCGACCTGAGCGTCCCGCGGGAAGAACAAGAACACGTCAAGGTTGACGAAGTTTGCAATGGGACACTTACTCTGGAGGAGGATCAGCAGATATTGAGAAGGATTGATAGATGGTATGTTTACCACGGCGCAATTTGTGTTTCGCCCCAAGGCTGGATGGTTTGCGATATTGTGCAACGGCAGGTTCAACTAAAATCTTTGACGACAGGCTTCTCCCCGCCATGGCGTTGACCTACTTCTTCCCATTCTTGGACAAATCTGCCGTGGCACTCACCTCCATCCTCGGCCTCCGGGACGGCTTGAATCCCCGGCGGGGGGACTACTCCTGGTTGAGCGGTGTCTATTACTGTGGTAACTTGGTGGCTTCCTACCCGGCCGCCCTGTTGATGGTGCGCTGGAGAGTCGGCAAAGGCATCACCATGTCGGTGTAAGTTGCGCTCCCACTCTCGAAACGTCAAGAGTTTGTCAAACATTGAGAGCTCAAAGCGCTTACCTTGACATAGCCTTGCCTGGGGCATCATCCTCATGTTCACTGCAATAGTCTTCAACGCAGACTTTCTCCTCGCAAACCGCTTTTTCCTAGGCGTCGCCGAAGCTTCCATCGCGCCAGGCCTCACCCTCGTCGTGTCCATGTGGTACAAGCGCTCCGAGCAGCCTCTTCGCCACGCAGCCTGGTTCCTGGGAAACACATGTGCCGGTATCATTGGCGGCTTTCTAGCCTCTGGCTTCGCCTACGTGAAGAGCATCGAACCATGGAAGGCCGCCTTCCTTACTCTTGGTGGAGCGAGTATGGTCTGGTCCGTGGGCGTCTACTTTCTCCTTCCGGACACTCTCATGGAAGCGAGGTTCCTCAACGAAGAGAATAGAGAAAAAGCCGTGCTGCGTGTCAAGGAGAACATGACGGGCATCAAAAGCGACAAGATCAAATGGGGACAGATGGAGGAGGCCGTGTTGGATGCCAAGACTTGGATGCTCATTGCGTTGCAGCTGGCTTCCAGTATTCCGAACGGGGCTGTGACGGCAGTAAGCTTTCCGCATGACGCAGAATCAGGGCACTGTGGCTTTTTGCTTGGTTGACCTTTTTGTTCTCTTTGATAGTTCTCAAGCATTGCAGTCAGTGGCATCGGCTTGAACATGTTCGACACCCTCCTCCTTAGCTGCGCCGCCTTCGTCTTTCGGCTCGCCCTGGTGCTATTGACTACTGGCGGCAGCACCTACTTCGCCGACTCGCGAACCTACTTCATGTCGTTCAATTATGCTGTTGGTCTGACCGGCTCGGCAATGGTGCAGTATACTGCCGCCCAAAACGGTTGGACGCGGTTTGTCGCCTCGTTGCTGGCAGGCGGGCACAGCGCCAACTTTCCGCTGATCATGTCCCTCATATCCGGGAACTTTGGCGGCTTCACGAAGAAGGCGACCGTGATTGCCTTGGTATGTATTTTGCGGTCGAGCTTGCCTTACTAGGGTCTTGACATTGACTAACAGTGTGCAACAATCAGTCCTTTATCGCGTATTGTACAGGCAACATCATCGGTCCCCAGCTCATTCCTGCGAGCGATGCGCCAAGCTATCGCTCTGCATTTATAGCACTCATGGTATGCCTTACGGTGGGGTTCGCCATGTGCTGGGTTATTCGGTTCCATCTCATCTGGGAGAATGGTCGACGCGATGCCGTGGTTAGCGCTGAAGAAGTTGCCGCGTTTGAGGAGGCGCTGCAGGGCGTCATGGTGAACTTGACCGACATGACGGACAAGCAGATTCCGCAGTTTAGATATGTTTATTAGTGCGTGGAAGAGAGAAGGGTGAAGGGGGCCGACGTGTGCGAGTGAAAAAAAATGAGTCGACATGATATTGCTGCATGGTCACCCTGCACGATTACCCTGCATGATTAGCTTGGCCTGCGACGGATGAGTTTCTTAGCATACATTAGTAAGTCTTCCATCAGACGATTCGCATCTGGTCCCGAGTTCCGACGCCAAGGACAAAGGATGAGAACACATGACAAGAGCTGAATGTGCGGCACGGAACATGAAGCCCCACCAGGCAGGCACTCGACTCGACTCGTCCGAAGGTCAAAATATCTCACTCACTCCATTGCTCGCTCACTCAGCCTCCCCCCTCACATTACCTGGTTGTCAATTACACCCGCCCGCATCTTGACTGTTCGGCGTCACTTCAATCTCGCCTCTTCTTGCTTACTGCTTGACCTCTCAGTCAGTCGGCAGACAGTCGACCCCTCCCGAGTCCCAGCCCATCACCATGGCCGCCAGCAACGACAACGACAAGGCACACCTTCTCCCGCCCTCCTACAAGACCCAGATCACAGCCTGGCTATCCGAAGACACCCCGTCCTTCGACTACGCGGGCTTCGTCGTCGGGGAGACGCCCCGGCGCGCGATCCTCCTCGCCAAATCCGCCGGGATCCTGGCCGGCGTCCCCTTCTTCACCGAGGTCTTCACGCAGACCGGCTGCCGCGTCGAGTGGCACCAGTCCGAGGGCGCGCCTCTCGACCCGTCGTCCTCCCCCGACGGCCGGGTCAAGGTGGCCACGGTCAGCGGCCCCGTGCGCGGCATCCTCCTCGGGGAGCGCGTGGCCCTCAACACGCTCGCCCGCTGCTCCGGCATCGCCACCCAGTCGCACCGCCTCGTCTCGCTGGTCCGCAAGGCGGGATACACGGGCGCCCTGGCCGGCACGCGCAAGACGACCCCCGGCTTCCGCCTCGTCGAGAAGTACGGCATGCTGGTGGGCGGCGCCGACGCCCACCGCATGGACCTGAGCGCCATGATCATGCTCAAGGACAACCACGTCTGGAGCAGGGGCAGCATCACGGACGCCGTCGCCGCCGCCAAGTCGGTCGGCGGCTTCAGCCTCAAGGTCGAGGTCGAGGTCCAGAGCGAGCGCGAGGCCGACGAGGCCATCGCCGCGGGGGCCGACGTCGTCATGCTGGACAACTTCACCGGCCGTGGCGCCACGCTCGCCGCGAGGGCGTTGAAGCAGCGCTGGCCGCGGCGGAGCTTCCTGCTCGAGGTGTCGGGCGGCCTGGGCGGCGACAATGTCGAGGCGTACATTTGCAACGGTGAGTCTCGCTGTTCACGCGCCGTGGTGCTTGGAGCCCCCTCTCGCGTCGGGCTGGTGAGAAGAAGGCTGATTGCTGACCACTGACCGCTGACCTGGCCTGTTCAGATGTCGACATTATCTCGACTAGCTCCATCCACCAGGGCGTGCCGCACCTCGATTTTTCTCTCAAGATCGAGCACTGAGGGCAAGCGGCAACTTCCCCCCCCTCCCTGGTCGCTGGCGCGTGTACGACAACGGTCTCGTTGCTCCTTTGGGACTACTGGTTCAAATTACTATCTGTAGCATCATGTATTTGCCTGAAAATACGTATAGACTCGTGCAGTGCAGTGTGCTGTAGCATAGCACGCGGTAGCCTGGTCCACACTCTGACACTCTGGCCCGAGACTACTTTGCCTCCCGCTGTATATGTAGATAATTTGCGAACCCTGGTGGCTATGCAGTCTGTAGGAAACGGTCTGGGACTGGGCACGGCCCCTTGCAACAGATCAAGGAGGGTGCGGCCGTACTGCTGCCCCGGAGTCCAAGGCCCCCCCCTCCCAAACATGACTTGGTTCTCTAATCTATGCCATGTTGCTGTGAATCCGGATTCCTTCTGTTCGTCACATCGTCTTGTTGCTTCATCCACCACCTCGCTGTTGGACAGGGGAGGTTCGTCCATGACGCTCGACGTACCTATTCCTCGCTGACGTTCGAGTCCTTCAAGCTCGAGCAGTGCCAGCGTCAGCTACCCCAAATCAGGGGCTATAATAGGGTCCAACATTGAATGCCTCTACACGGAGCCACACCCATTGGCGCTCGTGGCGCCGTCAGTCCCGCAGCACGGCACAAGGACACTCGACTCGTTTGTCGCGGATGGAACATCTAGGGCAGGATTTGCCTCGAAAAAGTCGACGGGGCGGAGATGGATTTGGTGCATCTCCATGGGCCTGCTGGGTTGTCAGCGCGCGCGCAACGACTGATGACGTGCGTACGAGGGAGGAACTTGCATCACCGGCCAGTCCTCCACGCGGGGATTGTGCGTGAAGCCATACACGGGCCAGACCACAGGCGAGCTCTTCCTCCCATGGCTGCCGTGTCCATGCGTCCCGTCGGAGCCATTGGCACCGTCTGGCTTGCCTTGCTCCGTGAACCAATCGCCCCGGCGGACCATGTCGCCGACACCACCGACCTCGAGGCGGCTCTGGTTGGTGAACTCGCCTGCGACCCAGAACTCGCCGTCTCTGTAGCCGGTGACCCAGGCGTGGTGCCGTGCGAACTGGGCGCGCTGGCAATGGACGCTCTCCTCGTCGGCCAGCATCATCTGGGTGGCGGGCGCCACGAGCTGGTACGCCACATTCTTGCCTGAAATGGCGTTCCTCTTGCTGGGATTCTCCAGCTTCAGGTTCCGGTTCAGGCGCGGCTCTGCGTCGATATACGTCGCCCTATCGACGACTTGGCGCTTGACCTGGTACAGGTTGCCGTAGGGGTTGGTCTTGGGGTCCTTCTTGACGCCGTGACTCTCCTCGACGACGACCTGACTGTCGCGATAGGAGTCAATGGCCGGGTCGATCCGGGCGGCAATGATGTGCTGGTGGTTCTGGGCGAGGACACCGGGAGCGACCAGGTTGCCGTAGCTGCTGGTCTTGCCTTGGTCGATGGCGACGACGCTGACGATGCCCGTGGCGCGGGTCTCGAGCGTGATGCCCCCCGCGAGATCGAGCTTGAAGGCGAAGATGTATTCGTAGTTGGCGAGGGTGCAAATGAACTGCACGACGAGCTCGCGGGATCGGGCGACGACGGCCTTGTTCGTCCGGAAGTTGGTGTGCTTCCAGAGAACACCCGAGTCTTGCTCGTGGACACAGACGACGGACTTTGCCGGGACGGGTGATCCGTCGGGGCCGCTGAGCAGAGCATCGAGGTAGTGGATCGCGCCTAGGCAGTCACATCCAAGGACCAGGCTGTTGGTCATGCGGCCGACGCCGCCGTCGCCAAAGTCAAACGCGTGCTTGCGGTGGAAAGGGGGCCGGGGGTCGCCATAAGGAACAGTGAGTTCCGAGAAACTGAGACGGTAGAAGACGGGGCGGTTCTGGTAGCAGACGTCGTGGAGGACGGCGCCCTCGCGGGGAGTGAAGCCCAGACGGAACCGCCATTTCTGCCACTCGACGAGCTTGTCCGCCTGGATGGTGAATGACGGCCCCTCGGGCTGGACGACATTGAGCGGCTTCAAGTCGGCTCGCGTCTGCTGGTCGAGGAGGTCGGGAACCCATTCTGCGGGCTTGGAATTCGCAAACAGCGTCTTGGGCGTATCGCCGCGGGGGAGGGCGTCCAGGCCGTCTTCGCAGCCGCCGGTTGCCAGCCTGTCTACTCGGATCATCTTCTTGGTGACCCAGTCCATGACAGGGATGATGGGGATGGGATAGCCGTAGTGGTTGGTGTCGGAGTGGCTCTTCCGGGCATCGCGGGCAAACACCAGACCCTGCATCATCCTGGGGTCGTCGTGGTTGTCTGACGAGCCATATGGCCAGGGATCGATGGTGATCTCAAAACCGCACGGGAGAACAAACTCCGACATGGCCTCCTTGAACATGTCCGAGGCCATGCAGAGGTCGAAAAACTGAGCAAACTCATCCCTACGTCTCGGAACGCCTCCGCGTCAGTGGTACGGTTTTTCGCCCAGGGTGGCATCTCGTGGGACAAGAGGAATAAGAAAAGGAAATTTTTCTTTTGAAAAGAAAAAAAAAACCAAAAATAATACGCACGGGGTATAGTAGGGGTGTGAAGTAGGAGAAGCAACATGGCTGCTCACCACCTCTGCAGCATGTAAATCCACCACGGCCCTCACGGCCTCATGTCTATCCGGCTTGATGACGTCATACTCGACATGAGCCTGTCTCGGTGGGCGAGGCGTGTCTGGCGTCAAGCGTCCGGCATGCTCAGCCTCAAGATACGGAACCAGCGACTCCTTGCTGGGCTCCTCGAGATTGATCTGTCTGAAGTAAAGGGACTGAGAGGCCGCGTACTGCTTCGTAACGACATCCCGTGCCCTGACGAACTCGTCGGCGGTGAGCTGCGTCAACGGATGGGGGCTGACGGCAGCCATGGCGGGTTTGCAGCAGATGGCCAAGCAGCTTGTATTCTTTAGCTTTCCCTGCTCCGAGCACGTAAGCAGAGTGGTTTCTGAAGCCCAGGCTCAGCAAGCCATGTGTGTGCCATGTGTGGCCCGGGGAAACTCACCGGTTTATGTACGAAAGAACCGCACCGCAACGAGCCAACGGCATGGACAGTCACACAAGTGAGGATTGAGGATTCAGGAATCAGACTCGACCAAAAATGCGCCTGCAGCGACCTGTAAGCCCGGGGCGGGGTATTTCAAGCACGCGGCCCCAACGAGCAGTCGCCAAATTCGACAACAAGTCCAGATGTCAGCGTCAGCGTCAGCGTCAGCGTCAACTGGCTCGTATGCCGACGCAAGGCTTGGGTCCGGACGCGGCAGGCACCGTCGCCGTCGATCAGATTACACACTGTCTGACCATTCTGTGTCCTGTGGCATCTCACTGGTCTGCTGGGGTGACACTCTGCTGTCGCTTTCGGGATCAAGTGGCGGTTATTGGATGATGGTGTTGTTGCGCCGCCTTACGGAGTACTCCGTACTTCTGTCTGGGCATCGACACACATGCCACAGTCCACGGTCCTGGTCCGTGGATGCACAAATCCCCCTCCTTCTTCCCATGTGTTGTCGGAGGCGTTTTCCTTGGCATCGGGGTTGGAGGCTGGTCACTCACCGGTGCCTTGTTGGGCGGGCATCGACTCCGGGCATGCGGACAGGAGTCGCAGGACATGGCCATGTTCCACGCGGGAGGGAGGGATACGGTCGAGACGATCAGTTCCTGATAGCCTTGCCAGGTGCCCGAGATAACTTACAAGACTCATGCCGCGTGTGCAACGATTGTCCGGCATGGCTCTGGTTGTGCATCGTCCTGTCCTGCTCCCGCTGGCGACCCCGCACCGCGCACCGAGAGCCCGAGAGACTGAAAGCCCGCGGGGTCCGGAGCCGCGTTTGTCGCGGGCGGCTGAGCCATCCATACATCGTATACAAAGAGCCGGCCAGCCACACGTGGCAAGTGAGTTTCGTGGCGCCTGCGCCAGAGGTAAATTGTGGCTGCAGCCTCGTGTTGACACCATACAGATGCAGTTTCGTTTCGTTTGGCGCACGTTTGGCCCCCCACATGGCCTTTCCAACATCGTCCCGAGACGCGTCGATGAAGCCCGGTCGGGCCCTGAACGTTTTAGCCGCGGATGCTGCCGGATTAATCGCTATAGGCAAGGGCCAAGGGCCTCTCTGCGCTAACAAAGGACCCTTGCCATTATGTATTGGGATGGTTGCCTGCTTGGGTAGGCAGGTAAACAGTAGACAAGAAGTAACTCGACTTGCCAAGAGATTTTGGTAGCGGCTTGAATAAAAAAAATCCCGAGTACTTCCCCGCCCTAGTACTCCGTATGCCCTGTGGAATAGTCGCCTCGTGTCCGCTCCAAGCTGCTTGCATTGTTACTTGTGGCCTCGTGCATTCTCCGTACCAAGCAGGGGTTGTAATAAAGTGTGCAGGGTGAGGAGATGATGCGATGGTGATAGCAACTGGCTTGGCTGCCTGCCAAAAGTGGAGGCCAGTCTCCTGGGCAATACATGCATCCTCTTCCACACAGAGACGCTTGGCATTTGGCATGATTGCTGCCAAGCCAGAGGATTTGCGACAGGCGAGCAACCCAGCTGCCCAGTAGTAGTCAGCGTGAAGCTGGCCAATCATCAATAATGCATACGCGTACGTACGTGCTGGGTCCGGTACGTACTGAGGTGGCACGTAAACCACACAGCCACTGGGCCGTTCAACAGGTTGATGCCACGGTACGGTGGCGTGCGGCGGCGGGACTTGCCCGGTCCTGACCCCTGGACTCTGGAGCCCCAACATCTGACGCTCGGAAGATCCGGGCGGGCTCTGCAAGTGGCCACGAGGAAGGTTTCGTGATTTAAGGCACTGCCAAGGTTTTAGGGTTGAGGCGGAGCGGGACTGCAACATATCATCATCACACCACGGAGACTCGAGTACGCTGCGTCATGGGAGTTGGCCAAGCACTTTGCACGCCGCGGAGGTTTGTTTGGTGCAGCTTGTTGTTGAGCTCCGGTACAGACTGCAGACTACTGAACCGTCGTAATACCGAGCATCATCTCATCGGAGGAGCCCCACGGTTGTTGGTGCGATGACGCCTATTGCTACCAATAAGGGCCGGTATAAGAGATTGCAAGGGGCCATCGTAGATTTTTTTCAAGGGAAGTCGCTTACTTTATGCGCCGGGGCGCTACGATGAGGGATTGTTATAAGCCTGGGCAGTACCTAAGTACCCAGCTACTTGAGTTAGGTACTTAATAACGACTTGGTGCATATGGAGAGTTTAGGTTGGGCACTTGCTCAAGTCAAGTACCTAGGTACTTAAGTTAGTACTTAAGTACCTACGTACCCGGGGACAGCTAGGTACCTACCCCGGCACCCTGTACCTCTAAGCAAGTACTTACTTAAGGTAGTTACCTACTTAAGTACCTAGGCAGGTACCTACCTAGCTACCAGTACTAAGTACCTAAAGCACCCAGGTAGGTCGTTGCTTGCCCCGCATCGTTCAAGCCGGCAACTACGGCCCGTGGCAAACGAAAACCCCCAACCTTTCAATTCATTAATTTTCTTGTGCGTGTACTCCGTACTGCGTGCCCACATTCCCTTTTTTAGCCCGCTCCCCTTGCCTCTTCTTCGTTATTCCTTTAACTCATCTCTGCAGTGCCAGACAATTGTCCGTGTCGTCACCGTGGTCACCTTGCGACGCCACGATCCACGTCGGCGACCACGCTACGCACGAATGAGACCCGTTTCAACTTCCCTGCGCAAGCGCGTCGGCAGGACGCGCATCCGCATCCGCATCCGCATCGCATCTGTATCGACATCCGCGTGTCCTCTTGTATCCTATCGACCACGGCGTGCTGCCACTTGTCTCTCTTTCTTCGCTCCATCGACTGTCTGACCGTCGCCAGATGCCCTTTCCCGAGACAAGGCAGACAACAGCATCGTTTCAACAAGTCGTCCTGTCCACCGTCGCTCGGCCCTTTCATCTCCGGTTACAGATAGTAGTAGCACTGCGGTGGGGCTCGGACCCGTGTCCCTTGGAATACGACCGTGGTCTGTCCGCCACCGAACTCAACCAAATTCCTGAGAGTCGATCTGTCGGTGTCATTCATCTCTTGGCACACAAGTCTGAACTAGTTGACCCGCTTGACCCGCTTGTCCACGACTCCGGACGGCCCACACTGCTCGCACTGGCGTCTTCCAATGTCCCTGTCCTGAGACTCGAGAGCCACGAACTAAACGGGTGCAATCGACCAGCATTTCCTTCCCCATTCTTCAAGCCAATGCACCCCTCACTCTAGTCCCTCTTTTCCTCGTTTGTTTTCTTCTACAGTTGCAAGCCCAACAGGGTTTTCAAGCTCATAACCAGGCGGTTGACGGCAGCCTTTTTTCCTCGCCCAATTTGTTGGCTTCTGTCCCTGGTTGGTCGTGATTTGACTCCCGACTCTCCTTCTCCCGCCCGGCCGGGGACGAACCAGGTTTTCTCGACCCCTTTTTGCCAGGCCAGAGGAGCAAACCCCAAAGAAGGAGAGAGAGGAAACAAACCATTCTGCCGTCCTTCGACCAACCATGCCCAACTCGCGCCGCCCGCTGGCTGCGGCTGTTTTGATATTCCTCATCGTTGTCCTCACATTACGCTCACACAGCTCGCCCGCGCAAACGAGCGACAGTTCGGCCGGCGTACGGCCTGTTTCTCCTGACAATGGTGCCTCCGTCGCCTCGTCGCGAGCCGTATCGCAGAAGCCCATGATGGACATGTCACGCATGTCCACGTACGACAAGCTTGCATACGCCTACCCTTACGACGTCGAGGCCAAGTTCCCCAACTATATCTGGCAAACATGGAAGACCACCCCGGCCGATGCCGATTTCGCGTTCCGCGACCAGGAAGCATCTTGGACCGTCCAGCACCCAACCTTCGTTCACGAGGTCATAACCGACACCGTTGCCGTAAGCTTGCTCCAGCTCCTCTACGCCAACGCCCCCGAAGTTCTCGAGACCTATCATGCTCTGCCCATGCCCGTCCTAAAGGCAGACTTCTTCCGCTACTTGATTCTGTTTGCGCGAGGCGGCATATACTCCGATATCGATACCTATGCCATCAGGAGCGCGCTCGAATGGGTGCCGCCACAAATCCCTCGGGAGACCATTGGTCTGGTTGTAGGCATCGAGGCCGATCCCGATCGCCCAGATTGGGCAGACTGGTACAGTCGCCGCATTCAGTTTTGCCAGTGGACCATTCAGAGCAAACCAGGCCATCCGGTGCTCCGAGACATCATCACTAGAATCACCAATTCTACCCTGACATTGAAGCGAGAGGGCAAGCTTTCCTCACTGCAAGGCAAGGACGTGGTTGGTCTGACCGGCCCGGCAGTGTGGACAGACACAATCATGGCCTACCTCAACGACGGCCGCTTTTTTGACATGAACAAGAGCCAGGGCAAAATCGACTGGAAAAACTTCACGGGCATGGAAATGAGTAAGCGGGTGGGTGACGTGATTGTATTGCCCATCACCAGTTTCTCACCTGGTGTCGAGCAAATGGGGTCCAAGGATTACGACGATCCGCTGGCATTTGTCAAGCATGACTTTGAGGGTATGTACTGGCGCACATGAGAATACACGCCCCTCCTTTGCCATTTCTTTTCCCTTTTTTTAAAAAAAAAAAAAGTTGCCGTTGGCTTTTGACTAATTTGGCCGCAGGCAGTTGGAAGCCGGAAAGCGAACGACATGTTGGCGAACAAGATTAAACGCAGGATGGGCAACCAACCCGAGCAGGATTCCTAGAAAAAACGGCGCCATATTTGCAATCTGGAGTTCTGTGGTTTTCAAGGCATTGTAATTCGGACTAGGGAATTTCTCATCATTCAGGAAAAACAAGCTGTATATGGAACATTGGAGGCGCTGAAGGCTTTTTTTTCAAGTCCTTTCCCTTGATGCTTTTTAAACGGGAATCATAATTTCTGACAGCATCGTTTCATGCATGGTGGTCTCAGAATAGAATGGAGTCTGGGGACACGGGCTATTTATTTGGTCGCTGGTGATAGAGCAGATGGCTCTACACACACACGGTGGCCGATTCCGTCATACGGGACCCATTATTTTTTTATTAAACAGAAGAAAAAAATTGAAAGTCTCGTGAGGAAGCGTCAAGGGCCCATCTCGCCAGCCGAAAGAGTGCAAGGGATTCCAAGTCTCAGCGTGTTTTACTCCTGACCGGTGACGCAGGGAGGATACTGCCGCGTCGGGTGATTGTGAACGCTGACGTGTAACACGCAATGATAGAATCGTGGAGTCGCAAACACGGCGGTGATGAATCAATAAATGTACTAGCAGCACGGGTGTCTAGCAGAGGCACCAGGTACTGCAGTATAATGTTGACATTGACACGCAAGAAAACGGCGTAGGCTTAGTAGCAGTCCGAATACGTAAGAGAGACTAGTTTGTTCTGTTTGATGCATGCGGCGGCGTATCCTTTTCTTGTCCACGTTCGCGGCGGGCCAGCGGCTAAAGTGTTATCCATGATGGAAAGTCATCTGCGGAGGCGTCGATCCACGCCCACGTGGTAGGGGCAAATCATACATGGCCTTTGAGATGACGACTGGATGATATAATAGTGACGCCACTGCCACCTGCAGCGCGGAAAACTACAAAAACGGGCGCAACTTGGCCCGTTGGAATCTCGGCTCCGTCTCACATTTCGCGAGCGCGACCACAGACCCGTTGGGAGAATACTGCCACGATGCCTGTCACGCGGTCTGGGAGATCTAGCACGGCAACGCAGGCAGCACCGGCGGAGAAACGGAAGCGCAAGGGGCACGCGGATGACGAGACTGGAGCGAAAAGCAAGGGCGCCAGCGCCAAAGATGGAGAGCGCGGAAACGCGGCGCCTCCCCCCAAGAAGCGCGGACGGAGGGAAACACGCGCAAAGCCGACAGACGAGGCAACACAGACAAGGAAGTCGACGCCATCTCGCGTCCTGGAGAAGGGGGTGCTGTACTACTTTGTCCGCGCGCGAGTAGGCGTCGAGTCGCCCAGGTCGATTGACGACATTGCGAGAGGATACCTCATCCTGCGGCCCTTGCCTGAGGGCGTCCAACTGCGCGGTGCTCTGCCCGCGTCAGCTACGTGCAGACTCATCGCGCTGCCGAAGAAGAGGCTCCCTGCCGGGCCCAGGGAGAGGTTCATGGCGTTTGTGGAAAAGTCCGATGCGTCCTACGACCAACTTGGCAGCGAGTTTCTCAAGGGCGAGGTCTACCAGACCAAGACGGCGGGGAAGCGTCATTCTCCCGACGCGATGCCGGTAGGCGAGGGCGTGTATGTCATCACGACGACGGGGCGCGAGAGTCACCTTTCGTACATGGCGACTGTGCCTGATTCCTCGGGCGAGCTGCAGAACGCCCTGCGATTCGACAAGAAGGGGAGTTTCATCATGAGTAGTAAGAATCCCGAGTACAAGGGGCCGTCTTTTGCGCGGCTACCCAAGGGCCCGGATTACCCTCGGTCGTAAGTGCGCGCTTGGTCCGCTTGGTCCGGTCGAGACTCGGCCGTGGTCCAGAGAGGCAGCCTCTGATGACCTGACGTGCTTGCAGGGTGCTTGAGAAATTCAACGGCTTGCGCTGGGTGGGAACGGTTCCTCAGTTTCTGGATTACCCTCGCGCCCAGATCTTGCTGATTGGACACAAGACTGGGCTTGGAGGAGAGGACGGGAAGGACGACGACGGAGAGGATCTGCTTGATGCCTTGAGTCAGCTTGAAAAGGACGACATTGACAGGATGCAGCATTTGTCGCCAGACGAGTCTGACGCCATTTATGCTGATCTACACAACAGGAAGATGGCGCACCCGGACGTTCACGACGACTTTGCCAGCTAGGCCTCGTCTCTTTGATCTCGCATCGGTCGACGTTGGCCTCGCAGATGGAATGACCAACTTGTTGCTCAAGGGTAGTAAAGGGCAGCGAGGGCGGCTTCTGGGTGTTCATCGATCCACGGTATTTCGGCACGTAGTTTAGCTTATATAGTCGCGTGCGGCAATCGATGTACATTCTTGCAGGCTGAAGCCATTTTGTGTGCGCCTGACAGTCATTGCTCGTAGTCGGCCAACATTTCTAGTCGTCGGCGGAAGCTAGCTACCGGATACGCCGGTATTCATCTTATTACGATTTCGGCCTCCTCGGCAAGGGAAAATCGTTGTAGCAGAGCCACGGTGCGACATCACGTGGTCATGAAACACCTCATCCACCCCCACCCACCACTAGCCAGGCAAGGCAAGATCGGGATCAACACACGCGCTATGATGAACATCCTCCGTCCCAACCGGTTTTGAGCCCTCCCCTTTGGAGCCTTGTGGATACTCGAGGACCCGGATCTTGAACAATGTGCCTCTGGAATTATGGGACTGCAGAAGAAGCAGAGCACCCCCAAAGGCCAGCAATCTCGAAAATTGCTGCCAAAAAAACTCGCAAGCCGCCGAGCTGCCTTCGTAACCCCAGCACTGTCATTAATTCCGCGGAAGCACCCGACTAAATCTGCCTGCTTGGCCTGTCAAAGGCGAAAGTCCAAAGTATGACGATAGCCCCTCTTTTGCTTTTGCCACTCAAATTCGTTGCTAAGCAAACCTATTTGTAGTGTAGCGGGGAGCGCCCAGCGTGTGCAAGTTGCGCTTCTAAAGGCGATATCTGCCTCTACGATACGGACAGGCTGGGCGAGACCCACTCGCAGGCCATCAGGAGGAGGTATGAAGAGGTAACAGCCGTCAACACAATGTACAGAGAGCTCTATGAGCTCCTCAAAGCTGCCAGCGAGGCGGAGGGTCAAAGGGTCGTGGCGAAGATAAGGCGTGGTATGGATGTCGAGACGGTACTTCGCCAGGGTAAAGACAGTAATGTCTCAGGCGAGACTGCCACGGCCAGCCATGAGTCGCCTGTCTTGTGTTTCCAAGAGTTAGTCTCATGGACGCAATGCCGTGCTCATCCGGGGAACCACGGGTCACAGCACGAAACAGACCAATCAACCATCCTGACTCTCCCCCCGCGGCCGCTTGACGCCTACATGTCGCTTTGGCATCAGGATACGTGGACTCAGACGGGATGGACAAAGGCGCACATACACCACCTCATTGACGCCATAAGCTCCTGGGACTACCTCCCGTTTAGTCTCCTGAGTTATCATGACTTTCTGCAAAGTTTCTATAGCGACTCTAGCCAATTTTGTTCGCCGGCGTTGGTGTGCGCTATCCTGGCACTAGCATGCCATCTCGTAAACGAAGACAGAGATGACCTGGAGGTTCTCCCGTCTGGCTGGGTTGGGAGCACGATGTTCTTGGATTTGGCTAATGAAAAGTTGCACCAAGACCAACCCAAGGGGCTTCCGGATATACAAGCCATTGGAATCCTTTCGCTCTATCACCTGCGGCGTGGACGAGAAGACAGAGCGCACGAGTGCGCTGACGATTTCGTTGCTAAAATCCAGGAGTTTGACGACCCTGACTCTCCGGTTCGCAGCAAGGGTTCGCAGCAGTACGAGACTGTGCTGGACATTACTTACTGCGGCGCGGTATCGCTATTTCGGTATGTTGTGAATCGTTGAATCGGCCCGTCACTCAAGCTGCATTGAGAGACCAATTAACTCAACACGTGGCGTAGCATACTCCTCCTGGCCACGGGGAAAATATTCAATATACCGCATGCCATCACCCCGGCGCCTGCATCCATCCTGAAAAGGCTATATCAGATGATGCAAAGTCGCGATGGAGATGGTAGGTCAGGTACGTGACTCATTGCCAGACGAAGAACCAGACAAAAATTGGTGGAGCCAGCACGTTGTGTGTTGAAAGGACGAGGCAGGATGCATCAGATCTTTCGTCTGATGGAGGGGCCTCTCGCTCTTTAGATGTGACGGTAGGTAACAGGATAGCAGCAGCGTTGAACCCGAGCGAGCGCAGCTTGCAGCTATTAAGCCTGCAGTACATCTCGGGCAAGGTTTTCGAGTTGACCGAGTGGGTGTATGATTTTGTAGAGTCAACTCGCTCAAACATCCGCCCTTCTCCGCGTTACGTGAGGGCATTCTACGAGAAGTGCCTCGACTGGTATAAGGAAATCTTTGCCTACGCTGAGAACGATTGCGCCAGAACGCCGTTTGTGCTGTTTGTGCAGTAAGCTCATCACATCAGACGGGGAGGGGGGGCACCGTGAGGAGAGAGAGAGGCATGACCATCTAACAGCCTATGCAGCATTTATTACCACTACTCCCTCCTGTGCGCTTTTCGGTCCATCGTCGGTAGGGACATGGTGGCACTGACATCTGGCCGTACACGATATGCAAGGAGGCTGCACAGTCCATCCTAGCGCTGACCCAGTCCTACGATGACCTTTTCACTCTGCGGCGCGTGTCTGGACTCATGCCTTATTTTGTTTGCGCATCGGGTTTGCTTGGGCTTACTATGGAGACTGAAGGGAGGTGCATGAGCTCGGTACATCTGCGCCTACAGCACACAACACAAGGGCTACAATCACAATCCACTGAACATGCTTCTGATGTGCCTCATGGCATACCGCGGCAAGTGTCGTCATATATCACAATGTCTGCAACAGATCATGCGCGTCTGCTGCTTGCCAAGATGGGGTCTACCCATCCGGTGGCGAATATTGCCAGGAGTCAGCTTCAGCTTCAAGTGACCTGAGAGAATCTCGAGACTCGCGCGGCATGCTTGGAGATTTGCGTCGGAACAATGTGCTACTTACCCTGTGCCGGCAACTTGCTCTAAAGCCTCGTCTCGCGAGGAAATCAAGGGGGTCGAGACGGCCGGGCCATTCCTACCCATTTTTCAGGTTATTGACATCTTTTCTGTGAGCGCGGAAGACTAAGCCGCCTCTTTAAAGTCATGGAGGTGCAAGGCGTGCATTCTCAAGCTACGACGTTTATGATTGATTGTCCCGTGCAGGCGGGCGTTGTGCCGGAGCATTCGCTCCGACGACCCAGCATCTTTGTGCGGGCATATGCTCTTCGTCCTGTCCCATAGGTTGTTGCAGTTAAGCACAGGCGGAACATAAGCATTGTTGGCGAGTAAGAATGAGCTCAGCAGTCGCAGTCGGTATGTTCTGGAGACTGTAGCGGTTCATGGGTCTTTGTTTTTTTCATATGCGTGTGCTGCCTGGAATCAGGAATTCAGCTTCCTTTTTTCCCCGCTCTCTCTTTTTCTTTTTTTTTCTTTTTTCTTTTTTTCTTTTTCGGTGCCTTCTGTGGTTATGTTTTCGGGAATCCAAAAAATGGACACCAGAGGATTTTGGACCAACGATTGCCCGTGAGGCGAGCTGAGAGGGACGAGAGGTTGTCGATCGAGTGCTCCTCCCCTTTCTCTGACTCTCACTCACAAGTGGTCAAGAAAAGTACGTTACCTTGATGCCCGCCAGCCCTGGCAAGGAACACACCCACTTCCAGACCGTTGATGTATGGAACTTCCTCCCGGTCACCCACTTCGATAGCTCAGTTCCGGGTCGTTACGGGAAGTCCAGGACTCGTACAGACGCCCCGGGCTTGGTTTTGAGTGCGATTCCAAAGCGTTGCTCAATCCGCCACCCCTTGCTTGTGGCGTATCTCAGCCGTCATCAAAGTATCGCGGTTTTGACGTGTTACGTAGTCACGACGAAAATGAAATTCTACCTTGTATGCTCACAGTACACCACCGCGTGCTATCCTTGGCCAAGTGCTCCCGAACAACGCATCTGCCTCTGCCTCTGCTGCGGCAAGTCGCAGTTGTCCGGCGCCCATCGTTCTCGTGTCTCGACAGCTGGGACTTCTCGGCATAGGGAACATGTCGGTCACCGTCTCGTGTAGCTTTGGCTCGATTGGTTTTCGCGGCCCGAGGAGACAGGCAAGGATAGTCAGTCCGTAATGTCGCTTGCTCTGACTTGAGCCTGGTGTGTATGTGGGATGCCACCGGCTCCGCAATCTCTCGCAGCCGCCCCGTTCAGAGCTCGTGGTGTGGCCGTTTGACTTGACTACCCAGACGATTCCCATCCTGCTGCGACGCTGAGGGGTGGGGGGTAGATATGACGCCGGCGTAGGGGCGTGGACATCGGGGACTTGGATATGTGTCACGGTGGCACATGCCGGCTCTCATCGGTCGTGGCCAGATGCTGTCAGGAGACGGGATGGCCAGCTATTTCAGATACATGGCTTGCGTGACAGATAGATACATGGCACTTTACCACGGGACCAGCGTCTGGTCCGCCGCAGCGTAGGTTACTTTCCGCTGGCGGCGGGCTGGTCTGAGCCCAGGCCGCAGTGTTTTGTCCCGACCTGTCTGCGAGAAAAGCTCGTGGTTCGCCGCGAGGGTTTCGCCCTTGTCCAACGGAGGCGCCTCCAGTGCGTGTGACTGTGTCACCGTTTGAAGCAATGAGCCTGACAGCAACGTCTGCTGCGTTCACGCCAGAGACGGCGCCCAGGGGAGGAGCAGAGTCACGGAAACTTCCGAGGAACCACATGGCGAGGCAATGTCTGTCCTCGTCCCAGACTCCCAGCCTCAGCCAGGACCTTGGTTCAAGGCCGCAGATTGCCAGGGCAGAGGAAGGAAAAACTGGCGCGTTCTTCATGGGCCGAGTCTCGGTTTCCTGTCGCTTTGAGTCGAGTTGGGCAAAGGGCACCAACTTGTCTCTACTCCATATGGATGTGCCCCAATCCGCGCCTTTGTGTTCAGACACGATGCAAGCCGAACATGGGTCGTGGTTTGTGGCGTGCCGACGCTTGCCAAACGGTTGCAAATTCATCTTTTGTACTCCGTACATCGTCTTGTAAAGAATCAAACAAGCCGGGTCTGGCTGGTTCGAGCCCGAGGCTCCGGCCATCGCTGTCGGCGGACGACTAACGGTCTTGATGCCGCTCAGCTCCAAGTTCAGGAGCCGGTTGAGAATTCTGCGTCGTTTTGGTGGTGATGAGCTCGGAAGCACGGCGGCGTGGAAGGACTGCTGCGATTGGCAGTATGCTGGGATTGGCAAAATGAGTATCGTTGAGGGTTGAGCGAGCCACGCGTGAGCATGCCTATCCAGGAGGGGGAATCAAAGCAGCGCCTTCGTCTCGAAGGCAGCTCTCTTTGTCTGCCGATGGTTATGCCTCTCCAATGTGCAACGCCACTTGTCTGACAGCCTTGTGTCGTCACCGCGAATGGCGGTGGAAATTCATGTTGTCATGATGAGGCCCGCACGCCAGACCATCGCCACCCGTGATGCCATGCGACTTGCAGCAGCGACGTCACTCTGACACTGAAATCTAGGCGAGCAAGTTCTTCTTCGCATTCACCACGTCGCGTATGTCTTGTTTCACGGCAAACAGGAGTGAAGGAATTCACTCGTAGCCTGCTGCATCCTGTCTGTGGACGCCCCGTCCGTTGATATCATCATTCAAGGCGGTGATATAAAAAGATTCAGCCAAGGCAGCAGGTTCTAGTGAGAGTTTGGTGTGACATCTTTTCCTTCCATCTGCCCAAGTTGCGATTCACTGGGCTCACTTGGTTGCGGGACGCTTCGCCTCGAAGTGAGATGCAGCACCATGCGATAGCTTTGAAAATTCCGACGCTTCAACAGACAAATCATCAAGCTTTGGAAATGTCTCAATTTTGGCCTGTCACAAAAGACCTTGCGCACGTCAGTGTAGGATAGGCTGCCCTTCATTACCACCATCAAATTACGTAACATTCAAGGGGCACTCGTCCGCCCGGGATACGGACAATCCTCACATATTGCCTCGCGGTGTCTTCTATTCGTAATACTTATCATAGCCATCTCAGAGCACCACAGGCTGTCAAATATACGGATACCCTGCCGTCAACGGCACCCCGGAGCAGGGAAATGTGCCATCCTTGCACATGGATCCCCGAGTGCTGTGCGTCCCAAGCCTCAGAGGTCTTCGGGCACAGATCGGATATAGAAATATCAAGGGTACTCCGTACTCGGTGGGGTCAGTTACAAGCATATACGGATATGATGAAAAGGGGCCTTTTGGTCACGCCGTTTCCTGGGCGACAAGAGACCTGTCACGGCGGCGGACCGAGAACAGTCTCGTGTGAGGCGCGGCTGGCTGAGACGTCGGGGAAGCAAACGACTCGGCAGTCAGCCCAGCCTATCACATCAAGACACGGAGCCTTTATCGAAGACATTGGTCTGTCGCGCTTGTCGAGATGATGTTTTGTCATGTGGCAGCAAATTGCGCAACGTGGTAATGTGCTCCCGTGCAACTGACATGGCGTTGCGACGGCCGCTGCGACGCACACGAAGCCATCTTTCCCATCCAGCCGTGGTGCCAGACCGACCAGATGTGCATTTGCTTGTTGTCGTCGGAACAAGCATGATTTGACAGATCAAGGGGAGGCGAACGAACGCCCCAGGACACGTCCAGCGAACGCGTCATCACAGAATCCATCAAATGACCCTGAAAATTCCGCGTCACAGGCCACGGTGGAATACAACTTCGCAGCCGAGAGTAGTTTTATTCTCGTCCATCTCACAGCAGAAGATTGGCAGTGTACCGTCCATCCCTGTGACTGCTACTCTTCGCATCTTGTTCGTTCCAGGGTTCCTGGCAGAGCTGCGGAGTTGACGCCATGTGTTTCGAAGTGGAAGCCGCCGGCCTAGGAAGGCGTTGTCGAGTGGCTCACCATTCGACGAATCTACGACTACCTGGATTCAAATGAGAGCCATGTTGAAGCTGCAGCTGCCGCGTGCGCAAAAGAACTTGGGCCCAACGCTGCGCACGTCATCTCAGAAGCTCTCGCAAAGCCCGCGGCCGATGGTACCCGCATCGACGCCATAGCTCGACATGCATCCCACAAATTCTGAGAGTTTTGTTGGAATACCCCGGGCTCAAGAGCTTTTCGGAAAATCTTGACATCAAACCCACTATGTCGGGGCCTGTCGAATGCTTCTGATTCACTCCACTGTCGAAGCGTGTTTGGGCGCAGAACTATTGGACCACCAAGGATGTCTGTGAGCTCGGGGTGAGCCGGGTCGTGGCAAATCGACATTGATCAATTTCTTTGTTTTTGCGGGCACAAGGAAAGTTCTCCAGGCTTGTTGCCAGGCTCGATGGTAGACGCTGTTTTGTTCTTCAACAGTCGAGGGGAGGCCCTGCAAAAGTCAGTCTTTGCAATGCAAATTCGAAGATATAGCAAGGCGTCATCAAGTCTGGTGACGTTAACCTTGCTGTGTTCTGCTGTCGAAAGACGACGTGATGATGTCGAAAATGCTGATCTCTTGGCTCGTCGAGAGCACCTAACCCCGCCGTTCCAGTAACCATGCCGTGTGGTAACGCCGTTTATGGGACTTCTCTGAAAAGTGCCTCTGAGACACGATTCGGGATGTTTATGGAGCAGGCTATTTACCACGCGGGTGGCGTCTTCCAAGTCTTCAGAATACCTACAGAAAATGCGAGGACAATAAGCAGATGATTTCCGTCCTGGGAGTAACGGCCCCAAGCCTCAAGTGCTCCTTCCAGAGAAGCTTTAGACAGAGCTGCACGACCCAATGCACCAGTATGGAGTCGTTTATGTCGTCATAGGTTCTCTTAACGGGTGTAAAAGCGAACGTTTAGATCAAGTTCTTGGGTTGAACAAGCACATAGGTGGGTGGTAGGCATCAGCGGCGCATCTTTTCATCTCTAGTAGACATGGCGACGACGTCGCCCGACACTGGAGTAGACATCAGCCATACCCAGTTGCCACGCAGCCTTGTCGGAGAAGTCGATGTCAGTAGTCTCCCGACGGAGGTGGCTATACGGAGAAATATGCTGCTGAGAGCTGAGATTTCGAGGCGAGGCGCGAATTCAAATAGCGGAGAACATGTCGTTGGCAAACACTTCATCACGCCGCTAGTCGTGGCTGCCGACTTGGAATTCATTGCCGGAACTCTTCCTGAGCGCGGATCCGGTCCATATAGACTTGGCACAGCATGACCCAGCGTCATGCCTGTGTCTCTGATAGTAGCGGCGACCAGGAAAGGACGTCTGTCAATCATCAGGAGGCTGACAATCGAGTTCAGCCCTTCCGTTCAACGGTGGACTCGACACGAATGCATGAGGAGTGATAGCCGCGCCGTGTTCCCAGGCAAAAGTATACTTTTACAGTTATGAGTGAGCACCGTAAACTCGTCTTGTTATGAAGTTCTGGTCAAGCCATGGCCGGTTGGCAACACGTCAAGATAGCGAAGAGGAGTGTTGGCTGATTCTTGTGCTCTATATCTTTTGGCAGCTTCGTAGAGCATCAGGTGTACAACTTGATCGCATGCTCGATTGGGTAACCATACAAAACCAAAGACATGGTTAGCTATACCAGGTCGATTATTTATTTGAGAACAAAGTTGCCTTACTCTAAAGGCGAATAGTCGCTCGCTAGCGAACGTGAGTCGTCGACAAAGGAGTCAAATGCTGGCTCACTCGGGGTGCGTTTTCATCGCGATGCTGCGGCAATTGAGTTGTGGCCTGTCGGTTGCCGGCCGTGGCCATTCAAGCACAGCCATGCATACAGTGTGCACCCATGAGCCGAGTCGGATCGACGTCATGGCTCATCAGACTACCTGTTGACAATGAGCAACTTGACAAATCCGTGGGCTGCTTGATCTGGGAAGGCGATGATGAGATGGGGTTCTGAGCCCCGACTCCCGACTCCCGACTCCCGACTCATGACTCCTCAGTGCTCACCGTCCTTGCCAAGGGCGTGATTAGCAATGGATTATCCCAGGATCCCAGCCAGGCCATGCCTTCACCGCCTTTGATGTTACTGGAGAAGATGTGGTGGCGATGGCGATGGACTTCTCTCGGTACTTGATCCTCCTTCATCCCGCAGGGGTGGTGGGCACTGAGGCGCATCTTTGCTTCTTCAATCTTCCACCAGTAGTAGTTCAAGCATCCCTGCTCCCTGCCGTATCCCTACACCCCTCCATGCACTCACGCTCATGCTCAGGGGTGTGGGCTAACGGAGTACGTAGTAGTAAATGAGGATAGGGAATAAGACAGTCGAGATGAGATGAGGTCCAAAATGGCACCGGCACGTCAAATGACATTGAGACGTCTTTTGGGGATGGATACCTAGGGCCAGTACGGAGTAAGTACTTAGTAAGTTCTTACATCGCACTTAGTACTTAAGGTACCTTCGTACCAACCTTGGGAAGGCAGCGGCAGGCACAGTGACGAAATGATGCCCTGAGCCGTCGTGCGTCAGTTGGGGATATGTCTCGATAGGCTTGCGCGGACCAGACATGGCGCGAATCTGGTAGACCATGTTTTTGATCCTGGACCATTCATTGTTGACGATAGATATCACGGCTGATATCACGGCTGGTCTCCAACGCCGCGACTTTGGAAGGCTTTGAGCCCGCGGGTCGAAGCTGGAAGCCGCTACATGTTCCCCGTAATCGTGCCCGCCCCACTTTATGTGGTTCGGCTAGCAAAAGCCCTCACCACACCTTTGGTGGTGAGGGCTTTTGCTAGCCGAACCACATAAAGTGGGGCGGGCACGATTACCAGATGGACTACCCTGAGGAGACATGTCCCCGCTTTGAAAAGTACCTAGCTTATTGAGCTGTACTCCGGACTACCAAGTACGTACCTACTTCTTAAGAAGTACCTAGGTACTCAAGTACGTAACTGGCCCTCGCATTCACCATCCCATCCACTCAGTAAATAGGTACTTAGGATCTAAGTAGCTAATCACTTGACACGAATGACCCGATACCTACTCAGCAGGTACCTGGTAGTCTACCACACACCACCATCTCAAACGTACGTGCGTGGCACAAGTCGCGCGGCGGTCGATGCTATTTTGGTCTTCTATTTCTTCTTTCTACCTTCCGCCTGGCCTCAAACACTCCCTGTCACTCTTCCTAGTCCGTCCGAACTGCTGTTCATGCTGCTGTCCACCGTCTTTTTTGGGCTCGGCCACTCTCCACCTGTGGTTGAAGTTGACATGCATTAAGTACACACCCTTGTACACATCGATGTACCTGTATGCATGATGCAAGTACACAGGTACGGAGTACTCACCCGCTTCTCTCCAACCCCAACTCCATCATCTCCCGCTTCCCTTTTCTCTCCCCTCCATAGTCATTCCTCTTCTTCCCCCTGCTTGATGCTCGTCTACCTGGAATTCCTTCCCTCTTCGCGTTGCCCTCAAAGTTTATGTTGTATTCTACACCTCAATCTTTGTAGCCTTTCCCCTTATCCGTGCTTCACAAAGCCTGCCCCGTCTGCCGTCTAAGTAGTTGGCCACGAAGTACCTGCATCTTCGGCTCGGATTGGCCGCCTCCTTGCTCCATCGACATCGGTTCCCAGACGCCACCATCTTCAATCAATCCGTGTCAGCTAGTGTGTTGTGTGTATATGCGTCAGGAACATCACCACGACCACTCAATTGTCCGTACTTCGCCCGTTGGCCGCCAAACGTGACACTACCAGACAAAGCGAACTCGGCTAGCAGCCACCGAAAACTGGATCCAACCATCCATCTTGCAGCACTTTTGCAACCCGCCTCTAGTCTAGCTCAAGCTTGACAAAAAAGACGCCCACGAGTCGTAACGGAGCGAGCGATCCACAGTCATATCTGAACGCCTTTGGCCTCCCGGCCTCCTCCTTGTTCACTCTGCTGGAGCCCGGCAGCTCGTTTCTTTTTTCCCTGCCCGAGACGTCTGCCACCATTTCCAACCTTGGCAAGGCCACAGAGAAATAAGGCATCGAGGTTCCAGCCGGTGCACCGAGATTGACGCAACGGCTCGACTCGGCCTTCTTCCCAATTCTCGAAAGCTTGTCAACAGCGCCGTTCTCAGCTGCTCCCTCGCGCGCGCGCCCGACTTCGCTCCGCGATTCTTTGTTGCTTCTCGTTTCTTCTCGCAGCCCTCTCCCACAAATGGACGTCCATGACCGCGCCCAGCCGTTAGACATTTGCGCCGCAGATGGTCCCTCAAAATCTCAATTGACCTCTGGATCCAAGGGCCCGTTGTATATGCAGAGCTCTGACGGCAAGCATGTGCTTGTCCGACGACTCAGGCGCAAAGAGGATGGCTCGTGGAAACATTTCACCCGGTGGTTTGTTGAAAACCAAATCAGTACGTCCACTCTGCGGTCAATTGGAGCTGCTGAAGACCAAGAAAACGGCGAAAAGAAGGGAAAAGGCAGAACAAGGATAACAATGCTCTCAACACTTCATTTCACTCCAGTTGCAATTGAAGAGAGCTGGCTGATCTTGTTATTGAACCCTTCTCCTTATTTTACCGGCAACTTCACTCCAAGCAGCACTGACGTCTGCTTCTAGGTCTCTCCTTTAACCTCCTCGCACTCCTATTCCTCTGCCACAATTTCATCCCGAAAGCTCGAGCGCACACCCACAAGTATTTCCAGCTCGCCTACTACAATGTCAAATCCGGTCAGTATGGCAATGGTTTTGACGATACTTACTTCATTACTTTCTGCATTGTTCTCTTCACACTCCTGCGAGCTGGCTTCATGGAGTACATTCTCGCACCGGTTGCCAGAATGCAAGGCGTCACCAAAAAGAAGGATCAGATTCGGTTTACAGAACAGGCCTGGTTGCTTGTGTATTACAGCGTATTTTGGACCATGGGTGTGGTGAGTTTGAGACCTGGGACGACACGCACTTGCGGCCAGAATGCTCCGAAATGCTAATGCCAGCTGTTGCTCTACAGTACATCTACTGCAAGTCGCCGTACTATCTCAATCTGCGAGAAATGTGGACCGACTGGCCGAACCGGGAACTGGATGGCCTAATGAAGAGCTATGTTTTGGCGCAGTGGGCATTTTGGTTGCAGCAGATCATCGTCATCAACATCGAGGAGCGTCGCAAGGACCACTGGCAAATGTTTAGTCACCACATTATTACCACAGCCCTTATTTCCTCATGTTACTTCTACCACCATACTCGTGTCGGCAACGTCATTTTGGTCATTATGGATGTTGTGGACTTATTCCTGCCGGTATACTCTCCTCGCCCATTGAATATTGAAGTGTTACGCCACAACTTTACTAACAAGACGCAGGCCGCCAAGTGTCTCAAATATGCAGGCTACACAACTCTTTGCGATATCATGTTCGGCATCTTCATGCTGTCGTGGTTCGTGGCCCGCCACTTTTTCTATGTCATGGTTTGTTGGTCAGTCTACGCTCATACTCCCGAGATTATGCCCTCGGCCTGTTTTCGTGGCAGCAACGACAACCTGACCGGACCCGAGGAGCCACCTCCCGGCTTTTCGTGGCTCATTGAGCCATTCCTGAGCTCCACCGGACGAGTGTGCTACAACGAGATTGTCAAGTGGTCATTCCTGGCCCCTCTACTTGTTCTTCAGGGCATCACCATCTTCTGGTTCACCATGATTGTTCGGGTAGCCATGAAGGTGGTCCGTGGTGATGGAGCGGAGGATTCTCGAAGTGATGACGAGGCTGTTGAAGATGAGGATGAATACGTCTATGAAGAGGCAGAGCCTCTCGAGGAAGAAGTTGATGCTGACGAGATCGATCTTCGAAGCTGGGAACGAAGAGCTGGCGTTAAGCGACAGGCCAGCAGCTCCGGTGTCAGCCTCCCAGGACATAGCGATCGCAAGGAATTGCTCGGACGCATCGGCTGCGAGAAGCAGGTTGATTAGAGGAACCAGGGACAGTGGAGTTCAAGGCGTTTAGACTTGTTTACTGCTCTCATCCATTGCCCCGAGGATACGTCTCGGTCCAATCGGCATCATGCATTTTCGTGTTAGGTATGGTTCTATTCCTTACCGTATTTGCTTTGCAGCGATGAACCTTGCCCAAACTTGGAAGGGCTGCAGGGAACGCGGGCAGCGCCATCGTTTATTATTATTTTCATTTTCAAGGGACATGGAATGGAATATACAGGGTGAGAGATGACTCGCAGACGCAGAATGATGCATGAGGGCGGGAACTCCTAGACTTTGTATTAGCTGAAACAGCTCACTATGAATTATGAGTACGACTGAGGTCGTGATGTAATGGTGAATTGAGGATGAGGTGTGGTCGGCAGTACTACAACTGTAGAAATAAATCGCAGGGAGAAGCAGTCTTGTCAAGTACCAATTGAGCCTGGCTTCACATGAAAGAAGGGATTTCTCAAGGCCTGGATTATTGGTGTTTTCAAGATGTAGTGTGGCTGCTTCACATGAAAGAAGGGATTTCTCAAGGCCATGGATCATTGGTGTTTCCAAGATGCAGTGCGGCTGCTGACGTGTACACGGGCTGCTTCCGACGCACTGGTTCATGTTTCAAATCCAACGCCCACCCGTTCCGCCCAAAAGAAGGGGGGGGTTGCAGAAACTTGACGGCCATATCCCTCAGCTTAAACTTCTGAATCTTGCCGCTGGCCGTCTTGGGGTAGTCGTCGACCCAAAAGACATGCTTGGGCACCAAATGGCTTGACAGCTCGGTCCTCACCCACTCCCTCACGGCATCCTTGCTCAGCAGCATCTTGTCTCGCCCGCCGTCGTGGCCGTCGTCCCCTTTCCAACCGTGCTGGGGCACTATGAAGGCGGCCACGCTCTCGCCCAGCTTCTCGTCTGGCACGCCGACGACGCACACTTCCTTGACGCCGTCGAGCTGAAACAAGCAATTCTCCACCTCGAGCGGATGGATGTTCTCGCCACCCCGGATAATCAGGTCCTTGATGCGGCCGGTGATGGTGACGAAGCCGTGCTCGTCCATTTCCGCCTCGTCCCCCGAGTACATCCAGGTGGTGTGGCCGGGGGACCCGTCGAGGCTGGGCTCGGAGACGCGCACCTCTGCCGTCTTGGCGTCGTCGCCGAAGTAGCCCCGCATGACGAGGTAGCCGGCGGCGGCGAGCTCGCCGCGCGTGTTGAGCGGGACGAGGCGCGAGCGGTCACGGGGGTCGACGATCTTGACGGCCGTGTGCGGCATCGGGGTGCCGACGGAGGCGCAGCGGCGGTCGAAGGGGTCGGACGGAGACGTCATGCAGCTGACGGGCGAGGTCTCGGTCATGCCGTAGCAGATGACGAGGTCGCGCAGCCCGAGACGGCGGTAGATGGTCTTCATAAGGGTCTCGGGGACCGAGGAGCCCGCGACTATGCCCTTGCGCAGATGGGCGGGTGCGCTGGGCACGACGCCCACGTCGAGCGCCTCGAGCACGGCGACGAGCATGGTGGTCACGCCGTAGAGGCCCGTGGCGTCGTGATCGGCGCACATTTTCAGCGTCGCGACTGGGTCGAACGCTGGGCTGGGGAACAGGATCGCGCTGCCCGTCGTCGCCGTCGCCATGTACCCGAGGATGCAGCCGAAACAGTGGAATAGCGGGGGCGGGACGACGATACGGTCCTCCGGGGCGAGGCCCATCCTGTTGGCGATGAAGATGCCGTTGTTGAGGATGGAGCGGTGGGTGAGCATGGCCGCCTTGGGCGTCGACGTGGTCCCCGACGTGAACTGGATGTTGATGGTGTCGGAAGGATCCAGGGGCGCGGTGGGGGTGACGGCGCGGTCCGAGCCGTCGAGGAGGGAGCGGTAGAGAGTCAGGGCACGATACTCGTCGAGTTTGAAGCGGACGTGGTGGTGAGAAACGCGGTTGTCGACAACGACGATGCGCTTGAGGCTCGGCACGGCATGGCTCTGGAGCTTGGACGCAGACAGGTCGCCGGCGATGCTGGCCAGGAGCTCCTCGTTGCTGCGGCCCTGGCCGGGCTTGTAGGCAAGGTCTGTCACGGCGCCCATGACGAGTACGTCGGCCGATAGGTGCTTGAGTGCGGCTTGGACCTGGGCCGCGTTGAAGGACGGGTTGAGCGGCACCAGGATGGCGCCCAGCTTGAAGCAGGCATACGTGAGGGCGGCGAACTCTGGTGTGTTGCCCTGTGACACGGCTACGCGGTCGCCCTTCTTCACGCCCAGGCTTGCCAGGGACGACGCCAGCCGGTTCGAGAGCAGGTCCAGCATGTAGTAGGTGAGGGTAGTTTCGAAGCCGCTTGGCGCGGGCGAGCGGGCGATGACGGCCGCGCGGTCGCCATGACGGGAAACGACCTGTTCAAAGTGCTGCGGGATCGTGCCCATGTACAGCGGCGGCTGTCATGGAAATATTAGCCTTTGGTGACATGAAGCTCGGCCGGTGGGCGACGTTGGCGTTGGGGGCAAGAGTACGGAGTATTGGAGTCTTGTTTCACGCGGCTCGTCGACTTGGCTTTTTTTCCTCTTTTTCTTTCTTTCTCTCTCTTTTTTTAATAGAGTCCATCGCCGCCAACTCCCTTTCTCCGACTGTCCAGAAGGGTAAAGAGGCAGAGATAAACGAACCTCGCTCGGCCCTGTCCGATAACTCAGTCCCTCCGTCGACATCGTCCGCTTCGACCCGAGACTCCATGCCTTGGTGCTCACCCGCCGCGGTCCAAAAACCTGTAACAAGGCCCTCATCCCGCGTCTCCTGCCCACGTCCGGCCGTGTACCAGAATCACCCGGACCGGGTCGCGGATCAATGGAGCCAAAGCCCGCTCGACCCCGCGCTCGCCGACTCTTCCCTCTCGCGTGGTGAAGTGGCCTCAGCAAGCTCAGTTAGGGCGTTCCAGACCTCGAATAGACACAAACACGAAGCGACAACATAAACAAGAGTATGCCCCGCGAGAAACAGGAGGATGGGAAACAACCAAGAGATGGGGTGAGGGGGGACAAGGCTACGTAGAATCAAGTCTATGCGTAGGTAGAAAGCACGTAACTACCTAATATATTTCATGCAAGGCAGGTACTTGTACGCTAGTGCAAAAAATGGCAGCTGGATCAAATCCAGGATCGATCCATGACCAATCATATCAAACCATTACAGCCTCACTTTTCATCATCCATTGAGGCTTGCTCTTTTGCCGCTCCATTCTCGCCCATTCTTGGAAGGTTCTACAAATCGACGGCAAAGTCAAGATTCGCGGCAAGATGTCAATGGTAAATCATATCCCAAGAGGGCAGGCGATAGAAGGTAGACGCCCCAATTCGAACTCACGCCAAGAAGCTCACTGGCAGGTTCAGAGCGGCCAGCCCTTGTACTAAGATCGCACGCATACAGCTTGCTTCATGATGCCTTCAAACTCACAGCCGTTCGAGGCGGTTGCGGTGTGACTCAAGGTGACTCGTCCATAGCTGTCTGGTTGTAAGGGGTCAAAATGCTCTGCTAGGCTTTCAACATAGCCAGCTACACCACTCAAAGTAGCCAGGTGCAGGGGAATGAGGTCCTGATTGTCTTTACGACTTTGTAAAAAGCCAATGCGGTGCTACTCACACCTGCTTTCTTGGTCCAAACTTGGAGTAATAGCCCATGACGGATCGTCATGTCCCACGAAGTGCGGGTGCAAAGCGGCAGACACTATTTCTCGGAGATTCGATGCTGGCCAATCTAAAGAAAAGCCACTTGTTAGTTATTCGAGACTCAGATACACGGGCACTTGAGATGGACTGACGCCAGGATGGTCTTGTAAGAACCGGCTCTACCAGGGCAGGGCGCTGCAGCTCCCGCACCTCACGGATTATTGGCTTTCAGCTGTGGATGTATGTTGCGACATGAAACGCATTGCCACATTGGGTGGGTGCCTGGGGCATCGAGCTACCCTGTAGGATAAGTATACATGTATAGTATGACCGACGTCGCGCACTTGTCGATATCTTTCTTTGGAAAGAACACCAGAATACAATATCTAGCCCGCAGCCAGCAGCCTCTCGTCCACGCCTTCTCCAACGCACGACACAAACCCTGGATATTTTTCTTTGCACGGTGAGAGGCAAGCACAATGGCCCTGGACCCTCGTTTCCCAACTTGTCTGTGGTTGGTGTCCCTGGTTTGGCGGCTTGGTCAATCCGCAATTCAAAGAGCACCATCCATACCTCCTTTTACCCGAGTCTACATCACATCCGGTACAAGAGCATAAGGCTCTCCTCAAGTCGGAACTGACTTGTTTTTTTACGCTTCACCATTGACTTTTCGCCGTTGCGTGAACGTCGACGTCAAGGGCGAGAACCTACCTGCCTGGACATGACGCAGCCGTTGATGGCGCCCTACCAATTCAGCAATGCCCTTGGGCCATGGCGATAGCCACAACTGTTTGCAGCATCGTGATACACTATGGGAGAACGTGCTTGTACGATGGTCGGACTCGATACCTGCGGTACTCGGCGCAATTCCATCACTACACATGGGCTATCTGGAGACGGCACCCAATTTCAAATTCGTGTCTTGTATGACACGAGGGGACCCCCGATTTGCCCCGAAGGAAGGAATCCCTTGCGCCAAAGTATGAACAGTGCTCTGCTGTAGCCTGGGAGGATTCGTACCAGCATATCATACAAGCCTTTGCGAACCGTTGGCGTGCTTTGGTTACAGCGTACCATGGAAGGACGGCTTGCGATACAGCGTCAAGCATCCATTGCGGCTTCCGGCCCATTTTGGGAGAGCCCACTGCCGACTGGGCTATAAATCTCATGCTGGCCGAGCGGATTCCCACAGCCTCTCTCCCGTCCTGATGAAGCTATGTTTCCGAGCTCCAAGTTGGCAGTGCGATTGTCACATATAGCCTGCGGGCCCATCCTTCCCCGGCCAGGCGCCACGAGTCCACAACAAACTAGAGCCAAGCTTGCAGGCTGCGGATTGTTGAAGACGCTCTGGCGTCTGGAGCTTGGAGTCTGTCCCATGAATGCTTTCTGGGAAGGCGATTGCTTCTCCACACGAGGGCTTCTGCCGCCGGGTACATGCGCCCGCGGTTGGCCCCCGACAGGGCCGACACTCTGCCAGAAAGAAAGTTGGCAAGCCTTGTCGACTTTACATGCCCTTATCAAGATCCTGCCACAGTGCCGTTAACTCGCCTTTGAATTAATGTCAATTCTCATCAGCCGCTCGCTCTCTGCGACCCAATTGCCCCAACTACACCCCAGCCGTCGAGAGTACATGCCCTTGAAGTTGAGTCTCGCAATGACAACGCGGTGTAACCTACGGAGGCCACGCCATATGCGACATGACGAGGCAGCCAACGAGGTTTATGAGCCAGCACAGTTTGCCAATAGCCCTCACGATCTATACTAGACGTTATTAACCCCAGTTACAGCCGAAGCAGTGTCCGTTACAGTTGCAACTTGTCTTGCCAAGAGGTTTCCATTCCATCGCCACACGCCTTCTGCAACAACCATATCCGTTCGGCTGTAACGTATACGAGCCGTTGCAGACTCGCGAGTGGTTATAGTCGGATTCTGAACTATACAACGAGTTCCACCCCTCAGTCGCCACTGCATGTCTCCTCAAGCATCCCTCGAATACAATCCTACGCGACAACAGCAATGGAATACCTGGTGGCCGATGGGCGGCTTTCAAATCTCACTCGCATTATTTCCTTTTTCCGAACGCTTGCCTAAGCGTCCCAGAATTGTGTCAATCCTTGCCGCAGTCTAGGCCAGAACCGTGAGCCTCTTCCCGCCCTACGCCGTGGAGCGACATTATCAGGGTCGTGCGTTCTCCGTGTTATGCCAAGTCTATGAGAAGGTTTACCACAAGAACCAGGGCACAGGACTCACTTGACAAAAACACGTCCTCGGCCGTCTGGGCATTGAGGAAGACCCAGAACCTTTGGGACCCTGCATACTGAAGCGTCACATTATAGTCGAACGGAGTTATTTCTCTAAGCCTTGTTCTCACCGCCCTTGTCGCACCTGGCTAAACACTCGGATGTTGCATTAGTTCTTCTGCGTCCCAGGTTGTATTTGCCGCGTGGACGGCAAGCAGGAGAGCTTCTGGCCGGAGATATAAAAACGCTTGCACAATCCGGCCCGCATGTTAGACTCGGCTTTACACTTTGCATCGCTCTAGGACACCTGGTCCACGCTTGCTACCACCATGAGAGCTACGCACATCATGATTCCGCTCCTCGCGGCCATGGGACTCGCAGGCACACTGCGCGACGGGGAGGCGCCGACTCGCGTCAAGCGCAGCCAGTTTTGCAACCACTTTGCCGGCTGCGATATCGCAAAACCGAGCCCCGAGCCAGTCTAGTAGGTCTGTCCCTCCGGTCGCGAGACATGGCCCTGGAGAGCTAATGCGTCGGCACTCACTCAGGCCTGCCGCTATTCCGCCACTGTTTTGAGCTGCAGCAGCCGCCGCCGTCTAGAAGACAACTGCAGCCTCGACTTCAAGTCATGATGCTTGAAAGGATGCCGCAGGGTAATTGGCTTTTCTGTTGGCGTGGAAGTGGGTGAAATGGGGTTCGGCGTATCGGCTGGAGCTCCAAGTAGCTCAGCTTCTTGTTGTCCAGAAACACAGAGTATTCAACTTTTCTTACCAAAGTAACAGATCTTCACTGGCTGCATCACTGCGATACGCGACTAGGGCTCGGCAGAGAGAGGGTTTGGAGCAAGATCTCGATTCAACTGTCATGATACTTTTTAGTTTTAAGGTCTTTGCCTTTCCACAAGACCATCGGTGCCCAAGGACTTCTATGTATGCAGCAACGTTCTGCTCTGGGTCTCGTGATTGCAGCCCTTGTGTCACCGCATGACACGATAGTTGTAGGACCCGACCGTGACAAAGCTTGTCTCTACCCACCCCTTCATCCGTGACAGAAGCCGTGGTGCAAGGAAGACTGGAGAATCTAGTGGTGGACAAAGTCCTCGGCACAAGTCGATGCCGCAGTTGCCGTCGGGGGATCCGAACCGTCCAGCGGATGGCCGCGATGCCGTCAACGGTGCCCACTGCCCATGGCCTCTTGATAGTGGCAGGGCGACGAAGAGCAGTGCAGAGCATCAGAGTTTGCCTCTCAACTGCCGAGTCCTGTGGCAGATGCGCAAGTTTGGCCGACTGCGCACTAGACTGCATTCGCCAGCCGAGCCGAGCCGCACTGAGGCCGGGTCGCTTCCGAGACGGGTGCGTGACTTGGCTGCTGACCTCATCTTGACTTCTTGACTTCATGACTTCTTGACTTTGGAGACTATAGACTATTCGAACAATGCTTACTGCCGCAGAGCGGACAGACAATCTTTTTGCCGTACCAAAACTCACGCAAGGAACATGACTGCGACTCCCTACTCGGCACTACGTCCGCTAAAACCCCCCAGACCTGCCACACCGGTGGAAACGGGCAAAAGCACAAACGTGAACCGTCCGACAAGTCGACACCACGCTGCTCCGACGAGCGCACCGTCGCCCCCCTGGGCCCTGGTTGCGCTCACCCGCAGGCTACAGCAGCGACAAGGGAGCCGGATTCGCATAGTCGATGTTTGACTCCTTCAACTCTATGCGCTCGCCGCAGGTCCCGAAAATGCGGTCCCAAACACGCGTCTGCTTTCCGTAGTTGTGGCTCTTTCTCCAGCCCGTGCGGTGGTGCAAGTCATGGTCCTCCACAAGAAGCTCCATGTTGAAGTACTTGAGCAGCCAGCCGAAGGTAGACGCGGTCCCGATGTGCAGACGGAGGCCGCTGTGCCCGCCAAACTCGGTAAAGGCAACGTACTGGTGACAAATCCACCAGCTGTAAAAGTCGAGCGGCACGCCAAAGGCCCTAAAGGTGACAAAGGTCATGAACGGGACGCCGACCATGTCGAAGAACTCCTGCCCCTCGTCGGCGTAGGCAGCGAGGCTCGGGTTCGGGTGCTTGCTGAGGTGGTGTGTGCGGTGGAACTTCCACAGGAAGCCGGTCTCGTGCATGGCACGGTGGTACCAGTAGAACCAGAAGTCGAGGACGATGCCGTAGAGGCCGATCTGGAAGAACAGCCACGCCCACCAGTTCCAGGAGCTCATGACGTCGGCCGGCGACTCGGACACGCGGTAGGTGAGGAGGACGGCCATGGCCATGCGGCCGCCTGCCGTCTTGGGGCCGGCCATGACCACCCGGGCGACTCCGATGTCGGGGATGCCGTCTCTGTCGTGGACGTCGCCGTCGAGGAAGCCGTGGGCGTGGCCGAGGCGGCGGATCTCCCGGAGCTCGAGGACCACGACGGCCAGGAACGCCGCTGTGTAGTAGACGACGGCCAGCAGCGCAGGCATGTTGGTCCCGGTGGCCGACGCCCACGCCTGGTGGATGGCAAGGGGCACGGCGGCGTGGAAGAGGATCCAGCCATGTGCCGTCCACTGCGGCACGTAGGGGACTTTGTCTGACTTCTCGTGGACGGGGACTGGGCGCTTCGGATCCCAGTGGTACAGGCCCATCAGTTCCACCACCCAGTGGTACGCTGTCCACTGGCTGCGGTCGCCAAATCGCCACGTCGACTTCATGGAGTCCTTGGGGTTGGCTTTGGGGGGGGCCGCCTGCGAGACATGGTTCCCGGGCCGCGATTCGGTCGCCGACATGTTGCTTCTCCGGCTCCTGGTTCCGCAAAGTCTATTTGCAGAAGAATGCGTGGGGATGAAAGTCTATTTGCAGAAGAATGCGCGCGGATGAAAGTCTATTTGCAGAAGAATACGTGGGGATGAAAGTCTGTTCTAACGTTACAAACAATGCCAAACCACGGATGTGGCTGACAAGACGCAAACATATATATAACCTGCTTGCTACGCCAACACGCAATCCCGCCCGACACGTGCTCGGGAGAAGCACTCGAACGCGAAACGTTTGTCGTCGTCGGCTGGCCAAGGGGGGAGAAGGAGGCCCGGCTGTTTACTTTACAGACAACAGGAAGGAATGGCATCAAGAGCGTCCAACTAGACGTGGTCGGGCCAAACTGCTGCTCGTGCGCGGCCCGGCCGAAAGTCGTGAATTCAGACTCCGTGTCCGTTTCGAGTTGCCACAAGCGGAGTGCCGCTTTGCCCCGGCTGCCGTTGCGTCGGGACCCAACTTGGTTCCATCTTGGCCGCACCGCAACGTGGCCGATTCAAATTCAGCCGCCAGTCTGGGTGCATACTAAGTTAGTTAACTTGGCCTCGGGTCCAGCCAACCAAGGCAGCCTGGACATGCCCGGGCCCTGAAAACGTCGACTCTCTGTCCATCTTCCAGGAGAAACAATCAATGACGCCTTCGGTTTGCTGGCCCGCCTCTGATACATTGTCATGTGAACGGAGACTCATCACTCTCCATCGTCATCGGCTTCGGACAGCACATATTGTTGGGGAAAAAAAAAGGTGACCGGCTTTTCCTTATCGCCATGCAAAGCCCGCCCCTTTCTTGCGGCGTGCCCGGGCTCTTTTTGCAAGCGGCCCGTTGACGAAATGCCACCATCTGCAGCAAACGGTCATCGTGTCCGGTCACTAAATCACCCGCGAATTGCAAAGCGACGGTCGAGCAGAATTGACGTGATTAGTCAGAACAAAATCATCCTCTCCATCCCGAGGGGAAATAGCCCGTCAAACGTTCACGAACAAATGGTAGGCTAGAGCGGACATGACGACATGAGAGGCGAGGAAAGGTCAGGCCCCGTGTTGGCGGTTAGCTCTGTGGCAGCATCGAGTGAAATCTCCTCGACCTATTGAAATGCAGGCAGTCGTACACAGCAAAGTCACCACTTGCATCAGTCCGAGGGCCAGACCGAGATCACGGCCTCTAGCCAGCGACGGGATGACGACTTCTAGCCTCAGCACCCGTCTCGCCGCGGCGAGCCACTTTTGAAAAAAACCTAGGCCATGATACGCCTTGAGCGCAGCAAGAGGAAACATCTCCTTCTCCCCAGGGGTGTCCGGCTCTGCACACCCGAAAAGGCCAGCATCTCGACTGCGTGGCACCGGGTCGGCAGGGCTCGCCAGCTTCCACCCGCCAGATGTCGACTTGGACGGCTCGTGTGCCTCAGAGAAGCATGAACCATGCTCCACAAACAAGCCTACTGCGTGCGTCCGTCGAACGGATGGACGGCTCATCACATCTCAGCCGGCCGTGTCTCCCCACGGTTCATGCTCCTTCACGGAACAAAGCGTCTCAAGTAACTCCGTCCGCCCGAGCCGAGAACGAGTGTCCGCTTCACAGGCTTCTGATTCACCATTCACCACCCACACGAGATCGTCAGAGGCACCTGTCCCACGGTCCGTTCACAAGTCAAACGTAAGTTCAGCATCGTCGTCGGGTTTGCTCGCAGCCCACCATACACGGACGCGGGCTTTCCTTAGCCCGCCGCGTTGCCGGCTTGAACCCCCGGATCCCGGCTTGACCAGCATGTCTATCCATTCTGGCGGCAAGCTTACGCCACTTTTGCCGTGGGGCAGACGGACGACCGGACGCCGATGCTCGCAGCGTGAGACGCGGGCCCCGTGGCACAACGACAACAAGAACAAGACAGGACAAACCACGCCAACACCAGTGCCTATTCCCCAGCCAGCACGAGCGTTCCGAGTCGGATCCTCTCCCCGAGAATACACCCTTCGTCAAGCTGCTCTGTTCCCCTTCTCCCTCTTCCTGGTTGGCATTTCGTGACCCACTGCACGTGTCCCAACAGCATCAGACGACCCAAGGCACTGCAGACGCAGCACGGCCCTTCTGCCTCCCCGTCTGTCTATGCTGAGGTCACTAGACAAGCTCGACAAGCAGGGCTTTTTCTCGGCAGCATGCACGTCAAATACTCTATAGACGCCAAAAGAAGAACAGGGCAAGGGGGAAAACGCGCCAAGCGCAACCTAGCACCACCGGTGAGACGCTTGCATATGTACTTTGCACTCTCCGGCGCCCTGCAGCAAGGCTGGCTGGCTGAAAACAGTGGCTTTCAACATTTGCCCATTTGCCCATGGCGTCTTGGCGCACCACGTCGGCGTACGGGCCCTGACAGCGCCAAGTGAGAGGAAGATGAGCAATGAGGAAAGCAAGGTACCCAATGAGGTCGGCACACATATGCCCGCGTTTCGTAGTTTGCATTTCGGCAAAATCCCTAGAGCACGCTCTCCCCCGCTGGCGTCCCTGCCTCAGCAATCGTACCCGACCGTTGGCTTCCCGTCCGGCTCCAACCCAGAAAGGGGGGTCAAGAGATGCATATGCATGACTTGGCACGGCGATGAACTTCTCGAATGGCGGGAACACCCGCCAAGAGGTCAGGGGCTTAGCATGCATATGATTCTGAAATCCAAGCAGAGGATTCCATACTCCGTACTCCGTAGACGAGAATATATGACGTCAAAAAAAAAGAAACAAAGACGGCTTGTCATGTATTACAAGAAAATACGGACCCGGCCTTGTCGGAGGGCCGGGCTGCGTTCCCCATCCAACAGGGCACAGAAACATGGCTTCGTAGTGTTTCTCCATGCTCAGGACAAGTCGGGAAATATGCAGTGCAGCTCATGGACGGCGCATGTTGCAGCGTTGGGCTGTCTCGGTGTTAACGACTCAACGGCCCGGTTGCCGCTGCCAACAACGTTGGTACACGCAGGGCCCCCTTTTGCAGTTGAATTGAGAAAAGAACAAGTACGCGGAACAAAGTTGCACTTTTGGTCGAGGCAGCCTCATTTGCCTGGGGCCTAGACCGCTGGATATCACCTCAGCTTGGCCAATATGATCACAGCCGGCACGCGTCTGAACGGTTTCCTCTGGTCGTCAACGGCTTGTCCAACGTTGGACGTTTCGGCCCGGCTGATTGGTTCAGCTGAGAGGCTTGGCTCCTGCGGTTTTCTTTTTCGGTCAGTTTGCCGACTGCGCAGTAGTCACCTTGTAACGTACATAAACAACAAGTACAGTTACCTACCGGGTGGCTGGGGGCGGCCTCGATGCATGTCGATGGTGCCGCATCAGCGGCATCATGCATGCAGCTCAACCCTTATCCAACGGGCAAGTGTGAACCTGAACCCTGCTTTTGTGCTCCGTACCGAGTACAGCCGACAGCAGCCCAGCCGTGGCAGAACCTGGTCAGTCAGAAGTTCAACCGACTGCGGACCAGCCAGGCAACTAGTTATGCCATGGCCCAAAGGAAAAAAGCCCCCTGCCCCCCTGCCGAATTCCCCAGACACGACGAGCATGTCTTCTTCTCAGAAGCCAGCACGTACGAAAAGTTGACGTAACACAGCTTCCGCATAATCGTGCGGCAACCCCGCCTAGTGCCGAAAGTGAGGCTGGCTTCCAATGTCGCGCAAACGGCAGGAAACTGAAAGCCTCCATGACGTATTCCGAATTTTCCCCGTTCCGCACACAGCACATGACGGTACAGAAGAGCATGGCACTGGCTTGCTTCTCCTGTACGCCGTTGTGAGCAGCACCAAGGCGAGCGTGCCATGTCTGCCTTGCACGACCGAACTTGCCAGGGATCAATCCCTCTCGAAATGCGACCTTGGCGGGAGGAACAAGACGTAATAGGTAATACATGTGTGTCAGAAGACTTGCGTTGTCAAAGGCTAGCTAGCCGCCTCACTTTAACGTAAGAGGTTTCAGTTTAACAAAAAAAAAAAAAAACCACGGCGTTGCAGAGTACGGAGTAGGCAAGACGAAGCAATCCCTGTCACTCATAAACGTCAGCTACATGAACCACTCATGGCCGGGAGCCGTCCCGTGTCACGTTCTCGGCAGCGTGGCAGAGTGTCGTACAAGACCAGCTCGTGGTACGGAGTACAGACCAGACTTTACCGAGTCATACAGCATTGGAGTACGGAGTACGTAGTACTAGTACTCCGTAGTCTTTACTCCGTACTCCGTGCTTCCAATACCAGCTCGGGGGCACGCCTCGAGGCTCTCTCTCTGTCCGAGCGCCCCATTTGGCGGGTTCGCTTTCTCTCGCCCGACGACAACGCCACGGCGGTGAGATGGTGAGAAGGCTCAAGCCCATGCTTGTTCAGCCTTTTCTCTCCTTGTCGCATGCCCATTGGTGATTTTGAAAATGATGGAAAAAAGGCTGGAGCGGCGCCGAGATGGCCGACAGGACGGGCAGCTCACCAGTCGTCGTTGGAGGAGGAGGACAGGCAGTGGGTGCTTAGGTAATATCCGTCCCAATTTCCGCAGCGACGAAAAATAAAAGTGAGAACGAGGGCGCCGCCCCGTGCAATGGTATACAGAGTGACCACAGCCGGACTTGCCGGGCGTCATCTTGCCGCCGTTGGGGCCGACGCGCCTGTGTTGAAGCGCCTCCATGTCCATCTTGTTTTCTGGTCGAGAAAAACGAGGAGCGTCCGCCGGGGGGGTAGGGCTGGCTCGACCAGCGTCCGTCCACTCTCCATCGCGGGCTGGACTTGATTCGGAAGTTGCGAGTACCGTGACTTGCGCGCCACGTTTGTTGACGGGAACACAAAAAGCCGCTGACTGGCTCTGGCTCCAACTCGATTCAAAAGTACGTACTATGAATGACCTAGCTGTATTGTACAATCTATCTGCGTCTTTTGTCGCCTTTTCTTGTTTTTTGCCTACTCCAGGTCTGAACCAAGTCGCGTTGCCAGGTTTGTTCCGCCGAAGTTGACTCTCAGTCACGTCGCCCCCGTCTGACACCATGTCGTATTTTAACTTTGCTCTGGAGACTAGAAAAACCGAACATCGGAGCCGCAAAGCTGGTCATTTTGCCCTCGTAAAAAAAAGCCGACAGAGATTGACTTGTGGGCGGAGCTGGCTGGCAAACATTGGCAGCTAACTTGAATAACATTCCACTAAATTCCGCACCCAATGTCCCAGAAATAAAGAAAGATGACAGTTTGCAAATAATTATAAGAAAACGTAATGAGTGACACACAAATGAACGGCAGCCTCAATATCCCCTGTTAGGAGACAGAGAGGTCAGCATCAGCCTCAGTGGTTCGTTCATGCTATTCAACCACTTTTTCCCCTGTTTGCTGAGATCGATACCGTTGTCAATGGTACAAGACCTCACCGAGAGGAAACAGACTAAACTAGGCGGATGATTCTCACCTTTCAACAGCTTCTCCGGATGTGCCGGGCTACCTAAAAGCAGCCTGCGTCACCGATAAGCCCGCGGTGCAGGTAAAGACCAATAAAAAGTGTCCAAAAAAAAAAAGAAAGGTAGAGAAGAGTAGGAGGACAGAGCGCGACAGAAAATAATTCCGCGACGTGTGTATGTGCTTTGTTTCGATCCGTATTGTCGTTTGGGAAATCCCGAAATCCTCAAATACATCAGACCAGGTACATCCGTAGACAGGCCTGTCTCTGCATTCTCCACCAGCTCTCCATCACTTATCAAATGCCGATAATGCGAGGTCGCAACGTCTTGTTCGCTTCGAATGTACCAGCATCATTGCTCAAGGCTTCAAATGCAGTCTAGGGAAACGCATATTTGCTCCATGACTCCGCTTCTTCGTTCGACGCGATGGGGAAAGCACCTGCGGTCAGCCGATTGGCTCGTCCTTGAGCTCGTCGTTCACCCTTGCGAAAAACTTTTTTTCATTCTGATCCCAAAGCAGCCTTCCGTTATTCATTGCAATCCTACGACCAAGCCACAGGATTCTTTCATAACGCTGGAAACCGATTGACGGAGGCTCAACGACAATATGGGTTTCGTCAAACTCCGCGCCGTCAAACCAACCCTCTGGAAAATAGTCTTGAGTATAGAGTAGACCACGCAGAGCATAGTCTTCAGGAAGAGGACGGCGGTCGCCGGGTTCAGGCATTGGGAATTCCAAGCTATCTTCTGACCGTGGCCCGAAGTCGCAGAGCCTTACCAAGTAGTTAAGGACGTCGGCGGTCTCTGCCCACGGGAGAGAGTCCTCCAGATACTGTCTGCCGACAGCAAACTCCAGCATGTACTGATAAAATACCAAGAGGGTGTGAATGCAAGGCAGGACGCTGGGATCGCCATTCCGATCAATGACAATCTTGTATGTTCGAGCTGCAAGTTCTACCGCCATCTTGAAATTTTCACTGGGTTCCACGTCTGCAGAGTCTTCCATTGGAGAGTCTGATTGCTGACTCTCAACCGTATGCGGTGCTTCCTCCTGTGGCTTTGGAATGACACGCATTAGGACGTTGGACTTATCTCCGTAACCCAGGAGCAGGCAGCCTAATGAGATGCCAGTAAGATACCTAGCATAATTAGCTTTGCAAACTTTCATCTCGTGTTATCACTATGGCTTCTCTTACCCATGTTGTCGCCAAAGCACATTCTTTCGTTCAATGTGATCTTCTAGGCGACTAAGAAATTCTTGCATCGAGGAGTGAAGCAGGTCCTTGTGCTCCTCTTTTGCGAAATAGAATAGCCCATGAACTCGCACGAAAGCCAAGTCAACCGGCGCTAGATTCTCTGGTGTGGATTCTGGATCGAGAAGAGGATCAAACAACACCTTTACGGTTTCCCTGGAGCTCGGGAATGGGACGGGAACGCAAAGCGATTTGGCATAAAAAAATAGCTGCTGTATGACGTCAGGGCGTGCCAGAATCGCCAAATGATGGTAAAGTCGTCCCACGCGAGGGATCTTGTTCGAGGCCATGGTATACCAGTTCCGCGATACACGAGTCCAGTTTTCTCGATCTTGAATGTCGCTGTCTTCGATTGCCATCCTATAACGCCCCAAGTCACCAAGACACTCTATCCAAGTATCTCGAAACAAGGGTATAGTCTCATATAGCAATCCCACCATAGAATATGCAATGTAAACGAAGGAAAGCATATATTCGTGCGAGCCGGGAAGTTTTCTTCTGAGGAGCTCCAGATAAGAATGTATACCGTGGCGCCACATTCGCGCAGGTATGAATAACCTGGAAGGTAGATCTTTTAGCTTCTCGCTTGCCGATGGGTGTTGAGATGCCAGCAAAAAGTCATGATATTCGTTCAGGAGTGACCGATGGAGGCCAGACAATGCTTTGTATTGCACTGGATTGAGATCGACGTCCAACTGTGTCCTGCCATATTCCATGCATTTGCTTTCGAGTAAAATGATTCCGGAATAGATGCCCGTGATTTCTGGTACAAGCTGATCTGAACATATTTCCCGAGTTACGAGTTCTCGAATCATTTCCACTGCTCTGGCAGTATCATACGACCGTTGAGACTGGGCACGATGGTGTCCGGCATTGCGTTGACGTCTATGCTGGGAAGACCGACGATGGGTGGAAGAGGAGGCCAACCGGGTCTGGGTCTGTGTTGTCTGTGGCGGACCTGGCACGTTCTCAAAAGCCTCGGTCGCTTCATCACTAGCAATCCAGAGTTGTCGACCACTCGGGTTCGTACCCCGGACGAAGTCTTCGTCTCTCTTCCCGAGTCTGACACCACTTCCGCCAGGCGTCGACGGAGATGGGCCAGGTTGCTGAGCGACCGAAGCGGGAGTTGAGCAAATCTGTTCGCTTCGTCGGCGGGACGAGGACATGCCATCGCTTGTCAAATTGAGCCTCTCCAAGTCGTTTCCAGCCCCGTCCGTAGAAGCACGATTGCCAGATATTGGACTTTTGCTACTCGCAGCGCCGACATCACTGGTGACTTTAGAAGGCCCGGCCACCAAGCTCCTGCACAATTTTCGCGCAAAATTTGTCAGTATTGCGATTGCGAGATTTTGAAGACGGGATTGAACTTACTGCGACTTGGCGGGATCATGGTCCCCTTCTTCATGGTCTTTGGGCGAGCACTTCTTGAAGGCTTCTTCAATCTGACAATTGCCGGCCTCTGCTGGGTGCTTTGACCTAAAATGGTCTCGAAATTTGCGGAAACTAGCGTGTACTTCGGTGGCACAAATCGGACACTCAAATTTACCCAAGGCGTCTTCTTCACGTGCAGCCTTGCGTTGATGCTGGACCCATCCTTGGGTGAGCTTGTCCATCTCCAATAGATCCGATTCCAACTGCGAGGGGTAGGAGCGAGCAAAAGGACGGGACGTCAAGTTGCTTCTGGTTCCCAGACGCCTGGAAGCTACCCAATGGGCTTTCTGGGCGCAATGTAGCCTGTGCAGTTGTTAGCAGCCTCGTACCAAGAGTCTAACGATGCATGGCCGCAATTTGTGGCGGAGGTTTTGCAACAGGAGGCGGCGCGCCGCGCGAGCACTTACTGGCCAGGGAGCTATCTAAAAGGCGTCGAAGTCGGTTCCGGCCTGGATTTGTTCATGGCACTGTCAGCATATGACTTGGACAAGAAACGATGACCATGGTTCCGACAGTGCGAGGGTTGTAGCCAGCGAACCCAACACGTGGGAAGTTCGAAGAGATTTCCCCAGTAGCCAAAGCCTTGGCATGGACTGTAGTTCCGAACGAAATCCAACGAGTCAAGCTTCGAACAAGCGCAAGACGAAGAACAAAACAAACATGGCCAATGGCGGAACAGGAAAAAGAAAAGAAAATCTGTGCAAGCTGCCTTACCTATTTCGCCCTGTATTTCAACGGACAGCACGCCTGCCTGCTTGGAAGCGGCTCTTGGGCGCTGCAAGCAAAGGTGGCCGTGGATGGCGCCGCCGGACGTCTTCTTAATAGCCTTCGATCTTTCCCGGGTATCGAAACAAGTAAATTAGGCGCCCCGGACAGCCTCGTCGTAGTCCAGAGGATCCGAGCCTCATTCCTGGGGATGTTTTCGCTTGAGATTGTCGAAAAATAGTCCGTCAACTGCTGCTTGGAGTAGCGTCCACAGCGAAGCCCCACTCCTGGTGTAAGTCCCCCTGCACAAGAAGTACTGGTACTTTGCAACTTCAGCGGCAAAGTGGTTCGCCCGGTTGCCTTGCAAGGGTGCACGAGGTAGGGCGCTAGAGAAGAGCCGCAACCTTTGGGTGGGGGCGTGGGGGGCTGCTGCGATGGAAAACGAAGCTTCTGATTCGGATCGACCGAGTGCGGAAAACAACAAGACTTGGGGCAATGTATGGCGAAAGAAGAACTTTGCGCCTCTGTGTCGTCTTTTAATATATTTATATATTTTTTAAGTTTTTTTTTGTTTTTGGTGTCGAGACAATGTCAGAAGAACCGATCGGATCCGAGCGGATGCTCAAACGTCGCGATGGATGAAAACTTTTCCGAATACTAGATCAGCAAAGGTTAGTGGAAATGGCTTGGTCTGGTCTCAATTCCACAATCAAGAGAAAGCAGCCGGTGAGAAAGCATTCGAGGCAGGAGGAGATGATGGTATGGCGTTTGCTCGTCCACGCGACGCGGTGCGGACGGCGCCTCAGAGGTCTTTGACTCCTTGCCCCTCTCGCTAGGGATTCACATGTCCAGGTGTTTGTGTGTTCATGTATTTTGTTTATGGGCCAAGCAGCTGGGTAGCTCGGACCAAAAGTGGCGTGACGACTTGAGAAATATTGTCTGCCCTGGTGGACAAGCAAGCTCGATGACTTACTTGAATGTATGCTCATTAAATAGTCGCCGAAGGCGGGAGTAGAAAGGGTTTGCGTGATGGTAGAGATATGCCATGCGTGCCTGCTTGAGAGGTGTGGAAGGGGCTCCCTATATAGAAAAAGTAGAACGCGATCAATGCCAATTGGCGTCTTCTCGGTGTTCAAGTATGCTCAGCGAAACATGACTGTCCGACGATGCAAAGCCCAGCATGCCAGGGTCAGGGTCAGTTCAACTTTTGATGCGTCTGTGTTCCGACGTGATGGGGAAAAAGGCAACTTGGGGCGGCCGTTGGGGGGACATAGAACAACTGAAGTGTCTATGAACCGTTGCAGTATAATCCCGGGGCGTCAATGGAATCGGCTGCGTCACGGAATGCCTCAGAGCACAACAAAAAGTGTGCTGGGCATGCGGTTTGCCTCGAAGCGACACTTTGAGCGCACGCCTGTCCTCGGGCTCGACACTCTTCTATCAGCCACAGCCTTGGCCTTGCTCTAGCAGGGCCTGTCGTTGAATATTCAGCAGCAGCTCAAACCATGTTTGAACCTCGTCGTGTCTGTGTTTCGTCCATGCAGGCTGCCACTCTGAGAATGTTGCGAGATTCAGACGCTACGCTGCGTGAATCTGTGAATCTGGAGTCGGTTCAAATGGGAAAGCAAATTCCCGGTCCATCGTCTTCCTCCTCCGCTTACAACATCCGCATCCGTCTCGCGGTACCACAGGCCTTGATGCTTGCTTGATCAAACCCGGCTCGGTGTTCCAACTAGGCAGATATCTGGCCTTGTGTCGTCGAACCGAAATGCTATGCTCAAAGGCGGAGGGTGAGGGAGACGTCGTTGCACCGTCCATATCCTAATACTCGATCCGGACTCCGTACTCCGTACCGGAGGTGAATCTGGCTGAGGCCGTCCGAGCGCCAGACAGCTCCGATACTTCGCAGCTTCATTTCCAATATTGGACAATGTTAACTTGCAGGATCTGTTTTGGCCTTGGAAGTGCCCATCTCGTGCAACGCCGGCTGACCTACTCAAGTACTTTAAGTACCTACTTAGGTGAGTACGGACTAATGTTCCTTGGATACCTTAAGTAGGTTAGGTAGGTACCTAGGTAAGTAGGTACTTAAGCAGGTACCCAGGTACCTCGGCAGGCCGGAAGAAGGTCATGTTCAACGAGGTACTCCATACCTTTCACTGTTCAGCCTTGCTTTCCCTCCGCGAAGCCTCACGTCTCTTATTAGAGACACATGAGCTCGATACATGTTCATGCTGTTGGGGGCTCTCGCAACTCCTTCTTCCCACATCACTCACTGCCTTGGCCCCCGTTCTTACGCTGTTCGCTGCCTCATTGCGGCTAGACATGAACAAGCGGCCGGCCTTGGTCCGCACGAACAAGGAATGGAGCTAGCGCCGACTGCATGCATGGATATGCTGCCATGTCGACAGTCCGGCTTGCGTAAAGCTCCTGTTGTTCTGACGTTGCAACACATGGTGGTGAGTTCCCTCTACCGACATGGCAGACCGGGTCAGGCTGAATTAATGACTGGTGAATTTATTTGCTAACAAACATGCAGGTCTGGCCGAACACCACTCGGATTGGTCGAATCGATACGTCTGCATATTCAAGCTGCCGATTGGGCTGGCCTGAGACTATCGCCGCTTACGATAGTCCTTTGCATTGATGCCTACATTGCGCCGCAGAAGAAAGAGATGGGGTTGGTACCGTGCTATGGCGTCGTCTGGGACATAAACGCAGAGGGCGGGAAAGCACTCTCAAGATGACAAAGGGAACAGAACTCCCCCCCCCCGCTGCCAGTCCCGTTTGTTTCTCGCCGAAAAAGCGAGTTTGGCATCCAGTGTACCGTTATATTCGCTATGCGGCCGAGCGCCTTCTCTGCCCCAAGTCCGTTTCTGCAGTTTTGGGAACCCAGCCTAGATTGGGCAACCTGCAGTGACTGCTCCGTACAGAATGATGAATGCGTGCTTGCTGATTCTTGCATCTACAACGGTAGCAGCCGTGAAATCGCACAACATCCCGACAAGGCATCCCTTTGTGCTCGTGTTAGTGCAACACCTGTCACGAGCTGACCAGGCGGACCATTGATGTGGCAGACGCGACGTTCGACCTCTGGACCTGACGTTGCGTGCATTTCGGATATATATGCGGCTTGATCATCGTGGATTTTCTTTGTTTTGAATTTGGTCCCTATCTACATGGTTCATATTTGGCTGCCGCCGCAAGTTTCGCCTCGATCCGCTCAATCGTGTCCTTTTCGTAGACTTGGTCAAGAGCTTTACCAGCCTTGAAGACCTCCTTTTCATGTCTACTTGCCTCCTCCTTTGTCATACACACGAGGTCTCGTAGTCGCACGGTGGAGCATTTTTGCATGTCCTTGCCCTCTCCGATGACAGTCATGTTTGTGTGCTGCGGCCGTTGCCAGCGAATGAGGGCTAGTTTCGTCGATATGCCACTGACAGCGCTGCGTCCATGATACAGCTCCTCTGCCAGAAAAGCCACGTCACCTGAGGTGAGCGGGGTCTTCAGACCGACTGTATCCAAGCCCAATATTCGTGCGAGTCTGTCCTCGGAACCTTGGACATAGGTCATCATTCCTTCGTACATTTTCTCCCGTCCCTTGGCTGGGACGTAGTTGAGTGGATAGCCCGTGATGCTCAAGATAACATGGTTCGCCGCCGTGAGCCCAAAAATCGCAGGCATCGTTCCCAGCACGGGGAGTATTCTGACCCTGAAGTTGGGCATCACACCAAGGTCGCCAACCCCCTTTTCAAACTCTTCCTCAGGCAACGGCAGCAATTCGGCCTTGCCTTCTCCGGACTGCTCCGTTGAATATACCACCGGGATGCCGCTGGTGATGCCTAGTAATTTCAGCCGTCGTCTTGTCACCCGCGATAGCCCGTCATCTCGACTTGCACCGATATCCCCAATCACAATTCTAGTGGGATCGCTCTTGCAACCAGCGCCCATTACGCTGATGACGGGCAGATTGTGATCATGACAGTGTTTCAGAAGCTCGACCTTGGTGTCGATGTTGTCGATGGCGTCGACAATGAAATCAGGCCGTCGTCCATCTTCCCAGGCCCCCAGCATCCGCGATGCCACAGACCCATCAAACTTTTCTTGCTGTAGATCAAACTTGACCCACGGTGCGATGCCGATCAATCGCCGCCGGAGACACTGAACCTTGGGGATACCAACGTCCGCCAATGTAGCAACGGCATGCCTGTTCAGAGAGCTGAGCGTGACTTGATCAAAGTCAATCAGGCGAATCTTGCTCACGCCAGAGCGGGCGAGTGACGCGGCGCAATGCGACCCGACACCACCGCACCCGACCACAATGACAAACGAGTCGCGCAGCTTCGCGAGTCCTTCAGTGGTGAGAAAGACCCTGTTTCGCGCGAGCTGTTCGAGAATCAGCTCCTCATCGAAGTCTCCGGCCAACGCCCTTCTGCTAAGGGCCTGGTTGCGGGCATCCTCCTTGTCCGGCGTCGAACCCGGAGACGCGCCAAAATTGTTCAATTTGCTCGTATGATGGCCGCCATCTCCCGGAGAGGGAATGGACCTCTTGAGCTCAGAGAGTCTTCGCTCCCGCTCCAGGCCCTGATATCCAAGAATGAGTGCGACGGTTGCGCCAGACAGCACAGCTGTCGCAAAGAGGTGGAAACGGGGGCTTGTGATGGCATCTTTGATGAGAGACGCCATTTTGTCCTTCCATAAGATGCCGATACTCACCATCCCAAATCACCCGTCCGCCCCATCGGCGGTTGTTGTTTAAGTATTTTGCTGATGAAGAGCCTCCGGAGTCCCCAGACATTTGAGGTTCCACTTTCACGCTTGGACCTTTACTTAGTCATCTTCCACTTTCGCCAGGCCACGACCACGATTGGCAGATTGGCTCGTGCGCCGCCCCACCATTGGAAGGTTCGCTACGGCTCACCATCTAAGTTAATCTAACTTACTACTCCGTACCACCTCAGCATAGCGGCATAAAGGCAGAGTATCGGAACATCACGACGACTGGCACAGGCTTGTTAGAAACGACGCCCCCCCCCCCCCCCCGGGGCCGCCAGGCTCGTCATGCGCCGGCAACACGCCGGTCTCCTTCCGTCAAATCCGCGACTTGGCTGCGCACGATTCTTTGCAGACCAAAAAAAGTTGGCATGCACCAAGTCTCGACCAAGCCTACCGTTCCTCCTCGTCCCGAAAGCGAGTCCACCCATCGTCCGATCATTCACCTCGGAGCGCAAAAGATGGCTTAAGCACGAAGCAAAGCTAGTCGTCCGATACACCGTCACCCTCTGGGGCGTCGCGATATGCGGCATCATGATCTTCTTCGCGGTCAGCGAGGAAAACTCCGAACGGGAGTTCCCCACGCCCCACGAATGGCCCTACCTGACGAGGAAATTCCTCCGAGATGCGCAACGCTGTCGGGACCCCAAAGACGGCGAGGTCAACTGGGCGCGATGCCTGGAGCTAGCCCGGGCGGTGGTCATCCGACTAGAAGATGCCAAACTCGGCGGCGGAAGGGTCGTCAAGTTGAGCGACAAGGTCGACCCGAGCCTCGAAGTCCCCGGGGAGTTCATCAACTGCGACATCTCAGCCCAGTCGGAGGAATGGAGACGCGGATACTTCGAGGCAATCATGCTGGCGGCCAAGGCCGCAGAACACGTGGACGGCTGGCTGAGAGACACAAAGCGCAACGTGGTATGCGCGCCCGAATTCGTCATAGGTCCTTCGAATCCACAGCCGAAACCTATTCCTCCGGGGCGACCACATGCACCACGCGAGGAGGACTGCGAGCCGGCATATCCAGCGGCGGACAGATGGTACGTGAAGATCCTGGCGACGACCGGGCTGACGGCTCGACAAAAGATGGAGGCCGCGCTGGAGTACGCCACCTTCATGGAATTCAAGCACAGACGACAAGGCTCGGAAGCCCTGTATGCTCTCGTCTTGGCGGAGGCATCCGCCGGACTCGACCCTTCCAAGCTGCCGTACGACCCCAAGACATTGGTCGTCAGGAGCAATGCGCCAGCACCGTCAATGAACGTTCTCGATGCGTTGACAGCACTCGCCAACTACAAGGCCCGTCAAGGCGACGTCTCATCTGCCCTCGCCATCTACGTATCTCTTCTCAAAGCGCGCCGCTCTCTCTCAGACGCCCCGCCACCTACGACCTGGTCGCAGCCCAAGACACTCTCTCCATACGAACGATTTGTCGAGTTCTTCGGCCCCCCTGCCTATCCTGACCCGGGACCAGACGGCACTCAGCCGCCGTGGAGAAGCCCCTACGAGCGATGCCAGGAAGCATCTCTCAACTTGTACATCGGCGAGATCTTGTACGCCACTTCTTCTCGAGACGAGGGGTTGGCCTGGACCAGAGACGGTGTCGACCTGGCAGAGGAACAACTGCGCGCGCTTGGACCGGCAAGCAAGGAAAAGGAGACGAAGCAGATCTGTCGTGAGTGTCTAGCCGCAGGCCTAGGTAACTGGACGACAATGGTATCTCGACTGGCAAAGGTCGAGGATGCCAGCAGCGGCGATTCAAAGTCCAGGCTGTTTTCTTTCTGGGGCAGCTCTCAGGATGCCCCAGGTCGATGGGCAGCAGAGGCAGCTGTTGTCGAGGAACGGACCAGGAGGACGCGAGAGCTGATGGAGGACGTGGCTCCACCTGGCATGGGAATTTGGTCGTACTTCAAGGCATGATTTGTGTTTGGTCGGAGAAATTTTTGTATATCAGTATCAAAGCAAATGATTTTGAAAATACCTTCTTCTCTGTCCTTGCATCGATCTATCTTTGTCAATCATGAAAAGAAAAACTATCTCCTGACCATGTGCTTGGCCCGGCGTGCTGGTTGTACCGCTTCTTAGGAGACCAAGTCGTCTCCGTCGGCGGACGAATCGGCGTCACAAGCTTCCCCGTCTCCAGGAACTTCCTCCCCCGCTTCTGATTCTTCACCTCTTACCTGATGAATTCTGCATTCCCGAACCCGACAGTTGGCCTTTCCCAGTCAGCTAGCTTCTCCCAGTTGTCGTCAGCACTCTCCTGCTTGGGCTTCCCCGCCACTACAATGTCGTCGTTCTCATATCCCGGGGTCAGGGCCACAGATTCCAGGTACCCAAGGGCTGGTTTGAGAGCACGTATGAGGACCATCTCGATGTAGAACGGCTCAGAGGAAGAGTAGCACGGACACCCAAAAGCAGGGATTTGTTCGTCCTCGTTGCCAGAAGGGGGCGCGAGCGGGGTGTCCAGCGGCTGCGTGGAAACAATGTACGCGCGGGTGCGCTGGAGAGCTTCGTCAGCGCGCACTTTCGAGAAGGGTCGCGGCTACGACGTACCTTTGCCAGAAAGTCCCGAAGCCCACGGTTCGTCAGACTATCCGCTGGGTAGACGGTGCCCAGGAGGAGCATGGCGTCGAGACGGCCTTCCCAGGCGTGCCAGTTGGACTTGCTCTCCAAGAAGTCGGTCACCAGTTCGCAGCTCTGCCCGACGGCTACCAGGCTGACCTTTGCTCCCTCGCCCATCAGCCCGCGGAGGGTGTTGAAAACGGACGCGACGTGTGACTCTGGCGTCTCATGGCCTGCCACGCTGTTGATGCCGGGAACATAGCGTCTTCCGGTGTGGACAAGGCTCGGCAAGGGGATCGCCGTGCTGTCGGTTGCAGTCAGGTTACGGCCACCGTCGGGCCACCAGTACAACTGACCCGTGTTGGCGATGAAGATGCCAGGCGGCGACACATTTTTGTCGGAGGAGGCTTGTTTTTTCAGCTCTTGGACGACGGAGACCAAAGAGCCTTTGTTGATGCCACCGGGCCCGTTGGCCACGCGGCCGGCCAGCATGCCCAAGGCTTTGTTGGGTTCGCCGAAGAATAGGAGGATCCGAGTTTTCAGAGCCAGGTCGGGAGTTGCAAACACGGGTATGTGGCTTTGCGAGGTGGTTCTCCCCGGGGGTAGGGCAATCTTTTCCAGTCCTTCAGCAGTGAGACGCTGATGAATTATGTCCTCCAAAGCATCTAATCGCCACGGCTCAGTTACAGCTTTTTTTTTGTTTATTTTTCTCCCGTCTCGGATAAGAGATAAACGAACTGTCAAATGCGAACCTCTGGCGCTGGTTGATTCTCGCATTCTTGTTGAGAAAGAATTTAAAATACTGCTTTGGATCCTCGATGGACCGTATTTCGTCGCTGTCGTCGACAAAGTACCTATTTTTGTATTAGACAATTGGCTGTACAGTACGTAGACGTGGCTACAGCAGACCCCAAGCCTTCCAGGTTGGATGGAAAGGTCACATCTTTGGGTAGGCCAGACCAGTGGCGACGAAACATGGCGCCGATTGTTTGAAGTCTTGCAGAGGCTGCGTTGAAATGTATGGAACAAGCAACAGCCGAGTGAAAGCAGTTTTGAGCCGCCGAGCCCGTTGACGTTGCAAACAGAGCCCATGCGGTGCCACCTGTCCGGCGGGTGCAAACTTGGTCAACGTCCGCAGTCCGCGGTCACGCATCCCATCTCAAGTCGTCCCAAATTACAATAGGCGTTCGCATAATTAGAATCCAAAAGTCATTCGTATGTACTTAAGAACTTTGTCCTGCTACAATGAGAGTCACAATGTTGAATGTCTTGCATAATATTGACACAAAAAGAGCCGCCCAAAGTCCTGGCTTCGTTGCACATAACCCCTTCCAAAACGCCTGCCCACTGCTTCTCCATTCTCAAGCGGAAATCTAGCTTTTGCTTGAAGTGTAGCGACTTCTGAAAGCTTGACTGATACTAAACCGGCTACTGGCGCCTCGACCCATGTGGCTCGCTAGAGCCTCCTCGAGAGCAGACTGAGTCACAGATGCGTCTATATGTTGTCAGTATAAGCACAGACCCCAATTTCGCTTGTGCCGTCGTTGCACCTACCATCCAAATCGCTAAAGCTACTCCCCATGCTGGGAGTTCCATCACTGCCCTCATGAGAACCTGCCTTTGCCTGGCCGCTAAGACTACGTCCAGCCAGCTCGGTGGTGCGCCGTGGAGAGAGTGGCCCTGGTATTTTGGATTCTTTCGACTTAGACCTTGGTACCGCTGTAGGTGAGCCTGTAGACGAATCATCAGACGTCTGAGATTGGCGAATATATTCCCGCATGGAATTCTTGTGATTTCGTCGACCAGACACTCGTCCGTCTCCTCTCAGTGTAGAGGCTAGGTCCTGGCCTGGCTGATCTAATGCCTGGAGTGGTTGAAACGCAGGCTCCGATTCATCGTCTCCATCATCGCGATACGTTTCAGCGGCTTCCTGTGGTTGAAATCGTGGTGGACGACGAATGATTCGAGACTGTGCGGGACTGGATTCGTCGTCGGACGATTCGTTGGAGCTGGATTCAGCAGGCCCTGGAGAAGCTGTTTCATCACGGCGTTGGTCGGTCTGCGGTTCGGGTGATTTTGGTGTTGGTGACTGTATGGGTAATGAGGAGAGTCTTTTTCTGCCTGCCGGATCAATGGCTCTGCCAGGAAATGACGAAACATGACGCGGGGAAGATGAAGTAGCGACATCCTTGAGAATCGTCGTGTGGGCAGACGTATCCCGACTCATATTTGGACGTGAAGGTAGCGAGACGGGCGTTCCACTTGGAGTACAATCATAGCGCGGCATTACCGAGTCTCGACGTCCTGACAGAGCAGACGGTGCTCGTGGATGGGATGACCCGGTCGGTTCTGCACCAGGGATGGGAGACGGGGCAGCTGAGCCTTTGGCCGCGGCAGTAGCCTTTCGGACTTGAGCTCGAACCTGCGACGCATGCCTTTCAGTCAAGTAGGCGACTTGTTTAAGGAGGAAATCGACAGGGACATCGAATCGTTCAGCACTGCAACATGATCAGGAGTCGAATGTAGGACGGCGAATGGCGGTTTCACATACACCTGAGTCCCTGCATAGCTTCTGGTCAGCGTCACACCGACTGTCAAATTGTGGGTGCATGGGAAAGGTGAGCCTACAGTCAACCTCTTTTTGCGCCGCACCAGAGAGTATCTTCCACAAGGCCTCGTCTTTGGACAAATCCCAATGGACCTGCGCACGGGTCAGAAGCGGTTGCAAGAGGCGGCCAATGGTGACGCCGTCAGAAACCGAACTTACCGGAGGAGGGTCAACAAAGTCTCCCCTGGGTATAGGCACCCTCACAAACACGGTGTACTTTGGCTGGGACATGTCGATGATGTTCCCGACCAAGTCACTGTCCGGGGAAGTGAGGCAGATGGAAAATGGTTAAAAGTCCATGGAGGCGGCAGGCGGCAGGCGGCAGGCGGCGGGCGACCGGTTAGATTAAATGTTGGGGTCTATCGATAAGACGAGGTGACAACATCAGGGAAGTAGGCGGGTCTGCGACCGCAGCCTCAGCAAGCTGCCGGGCTGACTGACCTCTGTACGTGAGCAAGCATCTTGCCACGTGGGAGAAGGACTCGAAGACACTTCCGCTACTCGCGTATTCTTGCATGAGTAGTCCATACCTACTAAGCACTTACTTAAGCACGCATTGAAGAAACCTGGGCCGCGTGATTCACTCCTCTTCTATTGGCCCGGTCAAAAGGGCCTTTTCGGACGCGTTTGAGCCCTGTGTCTCTTCTTGGGAAATAATCTACTCCAAAATACGGAGTACACAGTAAATCAAATGGGCGGGACCTTACATCGCAAAGCAAATGAAAAGCTCGACCGGTCCAGCGTCTGCGCGTGTTGTGGTCTCAGCCGCATACGGAGTACGTACTCCGTACTCCGTAACACATACAAAGGCGACTCACAGAATCGTCAAGCCCGTGGGAAGTCGGCAAGGGTACTGAAACTGACCTGTCACTTTTTGTTTCTTCCTCAAATCCACCAGCGTCACGAGACAACTCTTGAACTGGTCACTAAGCGTCTCAAGTGGCGCCGAAAATTCGCTGCGACAAGACAAAGCTCGCAAAGCATCTGCAGTTCCTCCCCCAGCCAATGAAGCCACAGTCCACAAACAAGCAGTCATTACACTCTAACCCCTGTTTTATCAACCACCCGTGACCTGACAGGGGCTGCAGCCGTGAGGTAGTTAATCTCTGACAGTTGTAAAAGTGGGTTGTGGGGCTGGGGTTAGGGTTAGATCAAGTGCTAATTCTCATGCAAGGCGCCCAGCACTGTGTTTGTGCTATCGTGAGTGCTTGGGGGGCGCCTTAAAGGCTAGCTGTTAGAGCGTCCTAAGGTGGATATACAGGGTATTAAAGGAACTAATAAGTACTAACTTTTGTATGTTATTTTCCTATATAATTAAAGTATATGTGGTTCCACACAATGTCTCGGCTGTCGTCTGATTGGACCTTCTACGTACACCTGTCATCATCGTTGAAAGGCGTGCTTTCCGTCCATTTGGAGGGCATCCACAAATAGCGTCCGCTCTCCTTCAGAAGGTGATTCTGTCCAACAATGCAAAGGATGAATCTGGCATGGGTGATGGAGAGGACTTGGTCGGGGCGTAGAGTCGGCGTGACCGGGACAGCTGGGCATGCTTCTGGAAGTTGCCGACGTGGATTTCTCCCCGGGGCGGCGGATCAGCCGAAACCAACGTCCACGTTGGCGGATATGACGATCGCTCTGTTGTGTCCTTGGTGGGCAGATTCCTGGTGCAGGGTACTATAGCTTGCTACGTTGACAGCAGCTTGTTGACAGCATAGTCTCGTTCCATGGTTTCGATACTGGCATGGTATGGCTGACGAGGGCTTGAAGCGAGTATTCGGTTTTCTGGCCGTCAGCGATGGCGTCCAAATCACGAAGCTTTTCATGGTAGACGAGTAGGGCGCTGCGATGTAAGCCTCTGCAGGGTTTTAGATGCCGCTGCGATCACTCGTATCAAAACTAAAGCCAAAGGGGCCACCACGCCACGACGGCGGCAAAACGCGCAGAGGAACTGAGGAGCCACTAAATGGACAACTTGGCTTCTGGGCAAGATATTGGAGGAGAACTCGGGTCCGAAATCGTAGACAGCTTTTTTGACCAAGTCATAGTCTCCGGCAGGACCAGCGAATCCTAAAAAGCAGTTGGATATTGTATCCAACACGTCAAGAGTATCCAACAAACAACTCTGCTCTTCGGACAAGACATTTTGTAGAGGGGGTCAGAACGGCAGAACGGAACAAGGCCGTCTTCACCAGCCTCGGCCTCATCGCCAACGAAGCTGAAGCTGTTGAGACAACGTACTTGCCGCGAGCTTGAAAATACGCAGTCCGAAATTCTTGGCTCCCATTTCAACACTGTGAAATATGTTCATGGCTCTTTGATCCTCTATCACCAACAGCGATTAATCCACGTTAAATGGTCGGCCAAACTGTGTCAGTGCGATGAGTCGGTTTGACCAAGACGCCCTAATATAGTGAATGCGTCACCCATGAGGATGCCACTTCAGCTCAACCCTGCTCCTCGTAATGTCATAATGCGGTGCTCTCATACAATAAGAAAGTTCATCTGCGGGTCCTTCAAAGTATGGACCCAACTCTTGGTTCGCTGACCTGTGTTTTCCAGGTCCCAAATGGTTTGCAAAGTCTCCATAGCCGTGTATATAAAACCCCATGGGCAACATCTCACAAGCCGCTGCAATCTGTGGATGACCCATTCTCTTCTAGCACGACCGGCGGCTTCGGCTCCCGCAATAAACGTTGGCCAGGCCGTAGCCTTGAAGTTTGGGTCGTCGTCGGGAATGCTGGACAGATGCTCAAATGTCTCACAGCTCAGCGCCTCAACCATCTCACGGTGATCCTTGATGTTGCTCATGGACGGAACCGCCTGCAAAATATACAAGCACGCTGCGAGGCGGTGAGCAGACCCTGTGTGAATTCTGCTTTGGACCGGTACGTTTCGTAGATAAGACAAATTTCGAATGCCATTGGCCCAGGACTTGATGTTGAAAGCTTGAGCTTGCTGGATGAGGACTAGGCCTGCTGCGCGGATGTCGTCCTCAGACGCGACGTCCGGGGGTACATTGGATAGTTGAGAAGCAGAATACAGAATGGTGAGAATTTCGGGAGGGCAGCAAAAGTAGCTGTTGTCGGCGGCTCTTCGGAGTATGGAGGGGATCTGCGATGGCTGGAAGTAGGATTGGACGTCAAAAGGCGACGCCGCAGGCATGAAGGCAGAGGCCAGGACGAAGTAACTTTCCAAAACGTCAGTCCAGGCTAGCGGAGACAGTTGCGATGTTGTTTTCAACTTACATGAAGCAATCAGACAACAAGTAGTCTCGTAACGCAGTATCTGCCACGACATCAGGTTGTAACAGGCACATAATTCTGCCGGCCGCCTCGAGATGAGCCTTCCAGCCGTGTTTCCCCGACTCAATCAACTCAACGTTGATAAAGAAGAGAGCGGCAGCAAGCACGACATCGGGCCCAGTTGTGTTGATGTCTTCCACAGCACCGCGCATCAAGGTCAACGCCGTGGATTTGGCCACCAGAGCATCCTGAAGAGCGCAACGTGATGCTCGTTCAATGCCGGCCGAGACGCCGTCGTCTGCATCTTTGTGGTAATTTACTAGCGGAGCACGAACCAAGTTGGACATGTGAGCCGCCGATGCAGCGACTATAATGTGTCGCAAGAGCGGATGGACCCTTGTCAATGGAAGCAGCCCACGAAACGGATTGCGTTCCGGAATGTCTTGGAATACAAGATCTTTACAGAGTCGATTGGTAACTGTGGGGATGGAATGTGTGAGCGGACCAGACCATCATCAACAAGAGGTGTGCACGAATATGGGCAAAACTTACAATACGACAGGTAATACCGATGAGCATGCTGCATATCTTGATAGAGAGGATCAGCCAAAGGCCATGGACTGGCCACAAGACGCTCGGCCGAGGGTGATGTCAGAAGCAGCTGCACATGGCTCGTATGCTCTGGCATGGAAAAGTCAGCCCGGGCTCCCACGTCACGGGCAAGGCCCAAGTCGGGAGGCGACGACTTGATGGGCGTAGGATGATGCAGATTTGGCTTCTTGTCGGCCTGTGGTGTTGCTGGAGCGGCAGGCTCTCGAGCCGCGTCCACAGGAGCACTCGACGTCCTCCAAGCAAGCTTGCCGCGGCTTGCCACGGCGCCGGTCCACCGAAACAGTTTCCCATACCCAAGACATTCCTTCCCAGTGGCCGCGCATTTGTTACAGTATGGGTATGAGCGATCACACCGGAGCCGTTGTCGCCGACAGTTGTGACAGGGCTTCGATGGCGCGTTCGTCGGGTCAACTGGAGACTCTGGTGAGTCAGGTCCGCGGCTGCGGCCGGCCCTGGCGGTTTGCTGCGTCTGGAATTTCCAAGTAGACGGAGCAGCATGCATGGCGGGCGATGCAGAGGATAAGGCCTCGTCTTTGCGTTTTGCGTTTCGCGGCTGCATCTACCCGGGCTATCGAGGTCCGGCCTGGACAGACCGTGGTACCCCCACTCGGCGGAACAGTCGACTGTCGGCGTGGCGCACTCGGGACCCTAGGTACTTAAGTACCTAGGTAGGTACCTTGATGAAGTATTAAGTCAGTACTCTAAGTACTTAAGTACCTTAAGTAGGTAAGTAATTAGTACTTGAGAACACTCGGTAGATTTATTATCTCTTCCCAAGAGACATGCTCATACCGAAAGTCTTATCCTCCCATTATGTTGATTTAGTCGTCCAAGTTTGAGTTTGAACACCATGTGTTTCTTTCAAGCTCAGCTTGGCCGGCTAAGCCAGGTTGGTTGGTTTAGCTTTCAGTTGCAAGGTCGAACGCGCCAGTCACCCGGGTTCCTCTATCAACACACAAGTCAGGTCAACTGGTGCAGTATGTGCATGTATTACAGTGTCGCTGTTGCAGGGCTAGTGGTGCTGAGCTCCCCACCCGTCGCGTGGGTTGGCACGGCAGATCTTTGCCTGGAATCTGCATCAAGAGCGGAAGTGATGCGCAGCCTCTGTCTGTTCTCTTGTCATCGCTTCAAGCCTGTTTATGTCATGCAGTACGACATGACATCTGTTTCCATTCACCCGGCTCCCAGGACCGGAGCAAACATCTAACCCGTGGCCAATGGCCCATTAGCAGCTGACTGCGGTCCTATCTGCAATGAGTGACATCTTCGATTAGGCGTTATTGGGCGACCGGCGCTGCCATGGCAGCAGACTTTCTTGGTGCTGCAAAGTCGAGCTCTCGAGTGTCTGGCTTGTCTACCGGTCAACAGGAGTCGAGAAGGCAGCTTTAATAGCCTTTGATGAGGGTGTGAGGCTGGATGGGCTATGTGACCTTGGTGACTGACTCCTCGTAACATTGAACGGTGATGGTGCTCCGAGCCTGCCATCGTCCCCCCGGGGGCTATCAGGAACCCCCTGCTCTTGGCACGTTGGGACATATAATGACGGAGTACTCCGTAGTGAGTGGCTCGCCAATGTATTATTGCTCCAGGCACTGAGAAAAACGGCTTACCTGGGTGCCAGAGAAGAAAAAAATACCCGGCAAAGGTGCTACACCTGCCCATGTCAACCACAAGCCAAGAGAATCTGAGGATCTTGCAAGTCTCAAGAAATCGCTGGAGGACGGCCTCCAGAAAAGAAAAGAAAAAGAAAGGAAAGATAAGACGGTTTCGTTATGCTTCAGACGTGGATCCCAACCCTAATTGTGAAAGCCTTAACGTATTCTTTTCTGCATTTTGGGAAGTCTACTCCGTTGCATGCATGTACCTATGTACTTACTGGGGCCTTGGCCCATGCCGCCATGCGTGTCCTCCCATCTGCACCATGTGTTCCCCGCAGGCTTAGCACCAAACAACTTGAACAATTGGTTGATCCCCGAGTTATCTGAATGGACCTAACATCTCGAGCGGCTTCCGTCCCATGAATCCTACTTCACGTTGCCTTTCCAATAAAGAAAGAAGTGTGAGACAGTCCTTCCCAGTTTCCATCCTCGGACGCAGAGCTGTCGAGCCTGCCTGCTGCGCCAGTTGATCCAGTTGATGGTCGCACCTTCCAAGCGGGATGTGCGTGCAAGTTTGTCACAATACGTGTACGGAGTACGGAGTACGGAGTAGACGCATGCAATATGCGCCTTGCTGCCAGGAACCAGCGCAGCTGTCCAGACTCCAGACGGGCATCGTTGATGATGAATGCTCGAGCTGCCAACGCTTCCGCCAATTCAGCTTTGCACGTGCAAGACCATTCCTCGTCTCAACCCGCCATAACGGCGGCGTCATCCTCGTCTTGGCATCCTGACTGCCCTCTCTCCCCCTCTATTGTCAAGTCTCCGTCAACCATCAGCGCCTCAAGTCTCTCCATCATCGTTCCCCGGTAAGTTACCTAATAGCTATTCAACGACCAATCAGTTCTTGTCTAACATTGAGCAGTTCACACATTCAACTGTTTGTTGCACGATTTTGGCGTGCACAAAAAGATGTCATGCATGCTCTAGCCATACTCAACCATGGCGAGAAGAACATTTGTATTCAAGGTCCCAAATGACGCCAGATAGCTGCTATCCATACTCCGTATATTTACATTTCTGCAAGTCACCCCGCCGTTACAGTCCACCTGGAAGGATGGTCATTGGGATCTCAAGGGCATAGACCAATCGCGATACCCCTTCCCTAACGTCAGACCGTCATCCCACTCACCCCAGCGGAACCACAGAGACCGGCCCGGAGCGACAAAGTCACACGAGCTTTGCTGCGTAGCATAGCGGCATTTAGGATTGTTAGCGCCAAGGTTCCCCGAGAAACGAAGTTCCTACCTGTACGTGCTCCTTGCCGTCGTACAGAAACAGTACTCCTGGTAGTACCTTTTCATCCTGGATATGCGCAGACATCATATTCGGCATGTCGACTGTACCTGAGGCCACCGTGTTCTATGGTTCGTACACGTTCGTCGCACTGGAATAATAGACACAATAAATTCCTAGACCAGCCGTTCTGTCGCACAGGCGGGGGTTTCCTTTTCCCTCCTCATCATCCCGTCGTGGCAGATTCAAGGTGCGGAATTGACATCGGCTGATGGCTGCCTGTCACAAGATATGAGTGTGTCAACACACATAAAAAGTGGCCTCTGGCCACGCCATTCCTGTGTGGCACTGCCGCCAGGCGAGCACAGACATGCTGATCTTTTTCTGAGTTAATTCGGACAGGACCACATCGCTGCCACTTTAGGCTTCTCTCCATGGGCAGATCAGCATTTCTAGATCTGAGCGCACTCATCTATATCTTGGAAACCTCACAAACCAGTCAATGGAAGGCATGCATTGGTTGTATTCAGTGATGTCAACATTCGTTTTCGTCTCTTATTGGGCTCTCACAAATGTATGCTCAGATATGCAAAAGAATGCCAGCATTACCCCCATTCCAAACGGGCAGGATTCAAGGTGTTTGCACACCAAACGAAAGTTGGGCTATCAAATTGAACGCAATGACGGCCTGCAGGACAATGTCAGCAAACAGTATCGTGGTGCTCGACGCACTCCCACTATAGCATAGCAGTGGATGCTATAGGTCTCAATCTAACCCAACTATCATGGCCACGGCCCACGGCCTTGTCCTAAATCAAGCGGCGCCATAGTGCTGAGGGGACCCCATCATCCGCACAACAGCTGGTCAATGTACGATATATGCCATGTTGGCTGCCCGGGTTTTGGTTGCGGAAACACACATTTGAAGGGCGACTGACAGACTCCCAGATATTTGCCACGACATTGCGTCCGTCCGCTGAACATGAGCCTCCTGAACTGACAATTCTCGTCACGCCTAATCATCGGCCTAGGTGTAGAATTGGAACATCACGGGGTAGGCTTCTGGCCCCCGTAACGGCTTGGGGGAAATCCGAAACACTACCGCAATCCGATCATGGTCCTCCTCAATGCATTGCGTAGTCAAAATCCAGAGCGAAACCAACCAAACACAACTCGCAACACTGCAAGAGTGCTACCGACTTAGCCAAGCCTGTATTGGATTGTACGGTCAGGAAGCCTTGCCCGGCAAAAGATCAGCTTGACCACCCGGTCGCACAGGGCCTTGTCCGCTGCCGACTCCTCCGCAAATCGTGTCGACTTCCTCCAGGATCCCGAGTTGGGCTGGAGGCATGCATTGAGCCTATCCGTCGTCACCGTTTTGACCAGAAACGGACCCCGGCGACATTCAATGGAGCCTGTGTTGTCGCCGCCAACTGCAACGACGATGCCAATCCGCGGCACCAAGACGTCGAGCATGCAAGAGAAAGGTCGCCTGAAGGCTCAAGCTGCATATGGTGACAGGCAGGATTGCCACACACCCCTTCTCCGTCTGGCCGGCCCGCGGTTCAACCCCCCAGGCCTCCCTCCCGCGACAGCCACACACCTACACCTCCTGGTTACTTGGTCTAACAAGCCTGGGGCTCTATCAGTGATGGGAATTTGTGACGGGCATCATGGCTTGTGTCACTCCGTCCTTCTCATCCAGTTTCCAGTCGCCTCGTCGCCCCACCATCTCCCTGAGCCTCTTCCAACTTTTCGTCCCAGAGTTGTCTTCGGGTTCTTGACAAATCGTTCAGCCAAACTGGCCCACTGGCAACTTGTGACAGATAGGCTTGCATTTTAAGACGCCAGGGATCTGGGGTGGGTTTGGGGCATGTCCTTCCCCCTCCCCAGATCTGATTTACAGTACTCCCGATTTATCAGGTGGCGGTCTAATTAACTTGTTATGCACTTTGTTCGTCTTGTGCGGGACTCGGGCAGACTTACTTATACCAGGTTAATCCCCATCCAGCCCTGTGCTCCGAACCGCCATTTGAACATGTCAACAGCCGACTCGAGGATACTTTGACAAAGCAACAAGTTGGCAGAGAACAGCCCACCCGTATGTTTCATTTCTTTGGACAGCTTCCTCGCACCCTTCCACTCGACTGAGGACTGAGGACTATACCACACCCAACAACGGACATTCAACGGCAAGACCCACGCCACTTCGCTCGAGGCTTTTTGTTAATTACACAACATCGGGTCACGATTTTTTTCACCATTCATCGCCTTATGATATGGCTATATACTCAGTAGCACGTCATCACTCTTTTTTGCAGAGTGACCTCTGCCGTTATGCGCCACAGACACCCCCATCACCGCCAATGGAGGAAACCAAATGCTCGTTGCCTTCTATTTCTAGACTCTTGGGGATTGCTGACGCCGGATCCCCGACGAGTATTGCATCTCCAGACTCTACCTCTGAGTCACCTCTCACTGATGGTATGGAATTGGAAATACAGCTGTGAAACTGTTACCATCTTCATTTGAGAGACTAACATGGCCCGTCCGAGGAGATTCTCGCCGACAAGAGACTTCGTTTGTCAACCATGAAAGTTGTCTAAGC